ATTTAAAAGTAATTTAATAGTTTTCAGATAAATAAAACACTGTATAATCTTCATTGTGTAAATAAATAAATACAACTTCATACGGCTGCACAATAATGGAAAAAAACTAATAATTACTTGTGCCCAAATGCTTTAAACTCACTTAAATTGTTTACTCAGCTACAGGCCTTAAAAACACATGCAATTGATCAACTTAAAATTTACTATAATTAAACTGAAATGACACCTAAATTGTGATGTGTTCTAAACTGTGGCTCCTGGTCAACTATAATCCCAAATCCATATTGCAGGTTCTGCAATGAGACTATTGAGCATTCACACATTGCGAAATCGATGCTAAAATGATATATTGTGCAGCCCTACAACTTATCTTTGTTATAGATACATACTTGCCTGAAATGCCCACAAAGTCTTCTGCCCTAAAAATGCATGCAAAGGATCAATTCTTTCTATAATGGCTACATTTAACTATTAAATCATTGTGCAATTACTCTTCATTTGACATTGCAGACCCTACGATGTGACTATTGCAGATGAGCACATTGCAATATTGACCCTATGAACACATCAAATTTATAGCATGAAAAGCTTCTTTTGTTGAAGTAAAACATTTTAAATATGTATTAAAACTAGGCCTTATTAACTAGATGTTATTAAATCAGATGTTTTGAATCCTGATAATTACTTACAGCATTTAAATTTAGCACTGTAGAACTATACATACATGGCTATTCATTTTTACTTATCTATCAAGCATACATCTCTTATGCGTATTTAAGCATGTATTTGGCAGGAATTAGGTAAAACAAAAAGTTTTTTTAAAATATGTTTTCTATTGGAATACGTAAAGCAAATCATGTTATGTCTATATTGAAATACAGGATTTTTATTTTGCCAGTCATGCAATCTCTCTGAAATCATTAGAACATGCTCATTTATTACACAGTGCAGCGTGTATGTGTGTGTTTATATATATAGACAATAGATGCAAACGCCTGTAAGTGCTGTCCGAAATTTACTTCTAAAATTAGCATTTTTCTTAGGCTAAAGTAAATTACGATTAAGTAAACTCACTTTTATGGTGAAGAATAGTTTCTTTTCAATGCCTTTAAAGTGAAATAACCAAACATAAACATGGGAGGCTGAGAAAAATGGTTATTTTAGAAGAGGATTTTACTATCTGAACTCTATACTATATCCTGAAAACAGTTGTGCTGCTTGAGGAATAAGGAAACAATGATTCTTTTTAAAGATTATTTTAAGAACATGTTTTCAAAATAGACTTTATGGTAACAGTGACTTTCAGTTCTGATTTATTTGAAGTATGCTTGCTTAATAGAAGTATGAATTTCTAAAAATTTATATTTTTAAATTTCCCAGTGATGAGTTGCGGCTAGAAGAGCATCCGCTGCGTAAAAACATATGCTAGATAAGTTGGCGGTTTATTCCGGTGTGGCGACCCCAGATTAATAAAGGGACTAAGCTGAAAAGAAAATGAATGAATAAATAAATTTTTTAAATAAGTGTATAAAAAATTAATAGCAATTAACCAACCCAATTACAGTATATCTGGAATTGTTGCTATGTTTGCATTTCACAAGTCATCATCATGTACAGTATCTGTTTGTATTAAGTGTGTAGCGACACTTCTGATGTTATCAGATGGATTGAGTCACCGATTAGAAACCTCTTATGTCATGTATGCAACTCAATGCCAAGCACATCTCAAGGCTTCATCAACATAAACATTACGCACTTCCTCACATCATCTTATCTTCACAAGTTTGAGTTTTTGGGCTCATCTACCCTCAGCTTTGACCCATTACAACAACATTACATTTTGTGTCTCAAGTCTGTACCAACTACATACATCTATGCTGTACTTATTTGTGCACAATGAATGCAATTTTAAGAGAATTATTCCTAGAGCTTCCTAAAAACATATGTTGTCTCATATGAGAGGGGAGGGACAGGACAGGGCTGTGTACTTTTGGAAGGAGATGGAGGGAGGAAAGCTGTTTTCCTGTCTCACACCAAAGGGCAGGGAGGATCTCAGTGATGTCAAAACGAGGGCACAGACTGAAAGATATACACTCTCGTGAACGAAAAATTGTGCTGTCCATAAAAGGAAAAAGTACCAAAGACAGTTATATATTTCTATTGGAAAAATGTCACTTCACATCATAAGAGAGACATGCATTTTACATTCATCAAATATTCAAGGATGAGAACTGAGGGTATGTTTTTCAACCCGATACACGCAGCAGCCTTGTCTGAAACACTGAGTAATGAGTCTAACCAAGGCAACAATATCAAGTCATCGGCTCTAGAGATGATGCATGAACATCTATTCTGCAAGATTCTCTTCATGACGTGCTCAGCATGAATCTGCCAACTCATTCCCAGCAATATGGGTATGAGAGAGAGGTCAAGCGCAGATTATCAAACCTCTCTAATGAGCCAGACATCTCTGATTGAGTTCCAACATTACCAAACAAATTAGGCAAAGCAATGGCAAGGCTACATAATGTTCAGGGTTGCACTAGTTCCACTCAGACTGATGTTGGTCCACCCAATCAGATGAAAGTTAATAATCACTATAATACAAGGAAGAAAAAAATAATATCAGGGATCCAACACTATGACCATTTGGGTCAATACAATTAACTCTTTATATTTAGAAGCTGATAATCCATACAAATTTTGATATTAAAAAGGGAGTTCAACCAAAAACTTTTATTTTCTCACTGTTTCACTCAGTGGTTCCGAACCTTTATGAGTTTCTTTTTTCTGTTGCACACAAAATAAGATATTTTGAAAATTGCTGAAAATATTTACCATTGATTGTGGAAAATCAAATAATATAGAAGTCAGTAGCTTCTAGCTTTCTTCAAAATATTTTCTTTTATGTTTAACAGAAAAAAAAAAAAAAAACTCAAAGGCTTGAAACAAGTAAGTGGTAAACCATGACAGAATGATATTTGGGGGTAGACTATCCCAGGTAAAAAAAGTGCACTAAAATGCATCTTATTTAAGTATACTTAGTACACTTTTCAGTAATGTACTAAAAGTGTTTGTTTTCGCACACTAATTTTGTACTTAATGTACTAAAAGATAGTGTTAAGTATATGTTAAGATAAACTTAATAACATCTAAGTGTACTCAACTGAGACACCCTGAAATTGAACTAAAATGTGCTTTTAACATACTATATCTGTATTTTAAAAAATATATATTTAGTTACAACTAGAAATACATTTGAACCCTACTTTTAAACATTTAAATATATTTATGACTAATTTAAAGTATAATAGTAATATATTAAAATAATATATAAATTGTAAAAAAAAAGTGTGCTAAATACTGTATTAAAATTATTTTGGGAAAATGTACTTCTACTACAATACATTAGTAATAGATTTTTAATAAAGTCAATTTAATGTAAACTTAAAATTATCACACTCAAAATCAATTTAAGTGTTAATGATAATAATGCATTCATATTACGTGTACTTAAGTACAAGTTTTGGGAAAATGTACTTCTACTACAATACATTACTAATAGATTATAATAGAATACATTACTAATATTTATGTATTAACTTATTTTAAACTTAGGATTAGTATGTAAACAGTGTACTAAAAATCAACTCATGTTTGAAGCATTTACAGCACATTTAAAAAAAAACACACTAATAAAACTCTTTTGGATGTTTTTTCTGTAGTGTACTTTATTGTAGTACATTAAAAATTTATTTAAGTATTACTGGTATTTAGTATGCTTTTGTCAAGTGTACTAAAGTCCCACTGAAGTATAAACATACTTTTAATTAGGATATTTATAGTGTAAAACCATCAAACTTTCATTTAACACAAAAAATAACAATGTACTAAAAATTTATTTGCGGGTATTTAAGTGTATTTTAATTGCATTTAATTATATATTTTTTTCACCTAGGACCCCTTTCATTTAAATGATAATAATAATTCCTTATGTTTTTATAGAGCTTTCTGGTCACTCAAAGCTTTTTAAACATTGGGGGGAATCTCCTCATCCAACACCATTGCGCAGTATCCACATGGATGACGTGACGGCAGCCATATTGCGACAGACCGCACACCACACAACAGGCTTATAGAGATGATATACACTCGCTTGGTGGAGAGGAGACAAGAGTAATGAAGGCAATTATGATATGGGGAGGGTAAGGAGGCAATGATGGTCAGAAGCTAGTGGGCAAATTTGGCCAGGATGACAGGGTTAAACCCCTACTCTTTTTCAAAGGACATCCTGGGATTGTTAACAACCACAGAGAGTCAGAACCTCGGTTTAATGTCTCATCAGAAAGACTGAGCTCACTGACAGTATAGAGCCCCCTTCACTATACTGGGGCATTAGGACAAACACAGACCGCAGGTAGAGCTCCCCTTGTGGTCTCATTAACATCACTTCCGGCAGCAATCTAACTTTCTAATGTGGTCTCCAATGCATATATCCATATAAAAATAGCAAATACAGTGGAGTGGACAACTCATTTTATATGTAAAAGCCTTAAATGCAGAATTAAGTAATGTGCATGTACTACATGAGGTGAGGTAATAATCCAACAGATGTGATAGCATTAAAAACAAACTGTGAAACTAACCCACCAGAATATTGTGCATAATAAAATATGTTCTTGATGGAGGAGCGTGACTCTTCCAATTGTGCACTTCCATTATGTAATACATAACATTAACGTTAATCTTAATAACTTTTAAAAACATTTTTTGCCAAAACATGTTAATGATATTTTAGCTGTTGAACTGTTTTAGCTGTTTAAATCAAAAAGACAATTAAGCCTCTTTCTGCAAAGTCCAAATTTCTGACCTCGCCAGCAGAGCAAAGTAATGCTGAAAACCAGTTCTTTATGACACATGCAGGTGTATACAGTAGCAGCATAACTAACTGTTTCATCTGTTGACAAAACACTGATTAATTTCCAAGCATTGTTACTTACTGCACTGGTTTAATAAGCTATTCATGTGCATCTTGGTGTGGGTGGAGGGGAGGTCCGTCTGAACTCAAAACACAGACAAACTGGGAAGTGCCTATATGACAGAAGCTGAGAAAAGGGACACACAGAAGCAACCATGAACAGACACACAAAACACAGCAAGAACTTACAAACATTAAACACATTTTTCTGACAAGACATCTTAAATGCAACATGAACTCTGATAAAGTCTAAAATCACATTGCATTGTACGAGACAGAAAGACTTGAAATAGTTATTATATTCCAGTTTTATCTCTGCTGCAAACTGTTCATTTGCTAATTGAGTACATGAAAATGACAGACGGGTGAGTGGGTGGATGGATGAGCAAGATGCTGTTGACAACCAGAAATGGTTTACATTTTTAATATGCACGTGCGTTTGTCTAAAGAATCATTTCAGACTAACAAACACACACACATAACTAGAAAATAACCAAAAAAAAAAAGCACAACACCACAGCACTCTGGGGAAAAAAACATAAATCAATGGGTTACTTACAGCAGAAAGCACCCCGGTGTTTTCACCTCCGCTGCTGCTGTTGATTGATTGCTGACCGATCAAATAGTATCGACTATAAACCATAAACAAGTTCTAGTCGGAGACAAACCGGTGGCATCGCTTCTACTGCGCTTCTTGGATGGACTCCATTTACCGTCAGTCACTCAAGCTGACTGTCCTCAAACACTCACTGAAACACCCTCCTTCAGCTGCTCGACAGGGTTTAAAGCGGTTCAGCCTGGATGACAAATACATGTTTAATGGACCGTGTGTGTGTGTGTGTGTGTGTGTGTAGTGGGAGCCAGTTGCCATGACGTCATAATAGTTGCGTTCTGCTCCACCCACCTGTTGGACCACTTCAAAGCAGAGTTGTTTGGAACTGGGCATAGTTTTGATTCAGTGACTCGAATCTTCCGAATCTCTTCACTGTAAATGTGTGCACTGCGTTTTCCTCTTCAGTGGTCACATTTATTTAGTTTTTTGCCCACTTCTAAGCATTTATCTAATAGAAATATAATAAATTATACTCAACGTGTATTTTAATTGAGTACACATCCATTATTTTCACACATCCATAAATAATTCTTACTTTTTATATGTAGGTTGTTCACTTAAAAGCCATGTCGTTAAAATGGATAATAAAACATACTGTTCATTTACTCAGTTGAATTAAAAATCTGACTGGCTGAACACTTTTAGCTTAGCTTAGCATAAATCATTGAATCGGGTTAGACCATTAGCATATCACTCCAAATGTTCCAAAATAAGAGTTTCACTAATTTTCCTATTTAAAACTTGGCCTTTTTTACATGTAAGACTGACAGAAAATCAAAAGTTGCTATTTTGGGGTTGAAATGGCTAGGAACTAATCTCATTCAGGTTTAATATTAAATGAAACTTGTGATAAATAAAATGCAATAACTGCTTTTGAGTAAAACAAATCAACAACACATGCAGGCAAAATATGACCATATTACACAATAGCTAATAATAATAATAATAATACAATACAATTTATATATACAGTGCCTTTCCAAAGCTCAAACTATATAGAGAAGCTATATTTTAAAACAATTTAAAAAAAAGAATTCAAACAAACATTTTGCATACGTTCTCATGAGAGAAAGCTGAGAGAAAACATTTAGAAATTTGCTCAGAACTGTGGATTAACCCGATGATGGGCAATGGGCAAAGCTAGTGTTTTTCAGTCAATGATGAACTTCCGGTGAAAGCTTAATTTGACTATTTTCAATTTCATAAGGTTCCTTTTACAGCATAAATGTAGTAATGCAATTCACATATAATCAGTCAAATAGAATTAAGCATTCATTTGGTTGTTAAAACATAAAAATGGACAAAGGACAGTTTAAACGCATGCACCTTCATTAGCAGCAGGTTACCGCTGAAATTCAACAAAGAATTTAACGCAGTGCTTCTTGCTTGGTCTGATACCCACTTTATATCATATTTCAGCCAGGCACAGTGAAGATCTCTGTTTTTTTTTTTTTTTTTTTAAGAAATCAGATCTTGAACGCTGTGATTTTGTATGGGATGACAATTAACCGGAAGCCCTGGGGCTGGCTGACTGAAATTAAAATCAGTGTGCATATACCTCATTGTACTGTACTTTAGGAAGCATCAAAAAGCATTTGTTTTGGAATCATGCTGTGTACAAAGATCCAATGATAATTACTAAAAATCTATTATAAAATGTTCTGTATTTTTATTCTAAATAAGCCATGTTCAAAGCTGTTGTAAATTATGCTGCTTTTATGCTATGTTGTAATTATAATAATTAAAATACAGATTCAAACACAACTTATCCATTTACAATTATTTATTACGAATGACAGTCAATATCCCTTTAAGGCTATTTGTATTCTATAGTCTTTGTGACAGTCGACAAAATGAACCTGCATGAAAAAAGTGCAGCATGTCTTACATTCAATTCACTTAATGAAGACATCTACATTGGCAAAGGCTAACTTCACAATTTAAAAAAGTCACAATCTGCCATTGTTCTCAAGTCACCTTAGATGAACTGAGGCGAATTAGGCTATTAACCTAATTAATTATTTAATTTTTATTTATTTATCTTTTTTTTTTTTTTTTTTTGGCTGACTGCCTCTTTAAGAAGATGACTCGCTCCAATCCGAGCCGCTTCCGTCAGTGACTCGTTCAGAGCCGAAAATGAATCAATGGCAGTTCGTTCGTTATAAAGATTAGTTTATAAAATACAGATTTAAACACAACTCCGGCTTGGTAACACACCTATGATGCTTACAGATACGGACTATGAAGACTACATCTGGTTTGTAGATAAACTGATAATTTACAGAAACAAAACAAAAGCAACAAAGACAATTCAGCCAAATGCCAACTTTAATTAAAGGACTTAAAATTGCTTTTTATTGTGTATATAAAAGCGAAATGCTTTGTGTCTGAACAGCAGATTTCCAGGCGCTAACACACCACGTAATGCAATACTAATCCTATCTGCTACATTATACAGGCTCTCAGGCTGGTACATTTACAGGACATCATTATGCAGCACAGAGCTGAGTTGATTATAAAATATACACCAAATATCAAGCATGCAATCTTTCAGTGAATAATGCATTGCTAAAGTGCATCCTGAAAAAACTTAAAAGCTATTTCCTCTTGACATTACTGAGGAAAGAGCGCCCCCATTTGTTTACATTTTGCACCTGACTTTTTGTGATCTGCTTGATGATCAAATGTTCTATACCGAGCAACTGTGGCAATAAGGACAAAATGCAGTCTTTAGCTGAATAAGTAAAATTTTATGTATTTAAATTGTAAATATCTGTCCAATACTCTTTTATATATTCATTATACAGTAGTCAACATTTGAAGTGAAGTATCACTTTTAATCAAAGTTGTCCTAAAACTATTGAACAGCATTCATTCTTTTCCTAGGACAATTTTTGAAAACCATTTTTGATTCACTTCAAATGTTGAATACTGTATATGTGACTCTTAACCACAAAACCAGTGGTTATACTTCACATTAAAGTCAAATACATATGCTTTCCACAGATGCATATGTTATGATATGACAATATTTGGCAGAGATACAAGTATGCAGTGAATATAAATAATCAAAAAGTTTCTTTAATATATGTTTACAGCAGGACATTTATGAAATATGTCATGGAACATGATCTTTACTTAATATTCTAATACACACACATAGAGAAAAAAACAGGAGCACAAGCATTTAGTTTAAACAAATGGAGCTTTAGTAGGGCACATTATTTAGCCAATAATCTGCCAATAAAAAGAGACTGTCATTCATATTAGGACTTTTCACCTTCTGTGAAAAAAAGCCTTTCTGGGTTTCTGTTATCTAAAGTTTTTCTAATCTCCACTTTAACCCAGTAGATGCTCTATTTCTATTTGCATAACAATGACTATTTATGTTTATTATGTGTTATTATCAGTGTTGGAGGTAACACATTGCAAGTAATGCAAGTTACATAATGTTTATTGCCAATTGTATATTGTTTTGTTTTTTTGGGAGTATGTTGTTGTTGTATTTTGCACTGTCTGTATTTTGCACCGTTTGTAGCCAGCACCTAAGCATTTCACTCATTATAGTACAAGTGCTGCTTATGATGTGACTATAAAAGTGATTTGATTTGATATTACTTTACTAAGTAATGAGTGAAGTAACTCATTACTTATAAACAATAAGTAATAATATATGAGTTACTTTTTAGTTTAATCCGCTTTTAAAAACATACATTGCTGAATTAAAATTAAAGTAGTCAAAATGCAGTCCATGAGAATGTGTTCATTAATGAACGCATCAAAGAAAAGGAAAAGGGGATTGTCTCAATGAACAGTGATTCTATTTAAGACAAATAGTACAAAAGTAGTAAACATTTATTTCTCAAAGAGATCAAGCCAGGTAATAAAAAGTAACAAAAGTAACACAACTAGCTATTTTGGGGGGGGGGGGGGGGGGGTAACTCAATATTGTAATGCATTTCTTTCAAAAGTAACTTTTCCCGACACTGGTAATTCTTCTTCTTCTTTGGCCTTAGTCCCGTATGATTGCGGGGTCGACTCTTTGGAACAAGTCTCTATTTAGACTTGTCCATATGATAACGACTTTTTTTACACATTCCGGCCGGCCTGTCGTCTGGGCCAGTCACCCTCATACACTACAGACAATTTAGCCTACCTAATTCACCTGCAGCATGTCTTTGGACTGTGGGGGAAACCGGAGCACCCGGAGGAAACCCACTCGAACGCAGGGAGAGCATGCAAAGCCGCGGTTCAAACCAGCGACCTTCTTGCTGTGAGGCGACAGCACTACCTACTGCGCCACTGCTTCGCCCTTTCCCAACACTGGTAATTATTATAATTAATTTTTTTCTATTTAATTATAGTGCACTGGTAATTATATAATTAATTTGTTTTCAACATGCAAAATGAGACTTCTGAAAGTCATGCCAGATTCGAATAAGATACTTTGGCTTAAAACCATTGACTATAATGCGTGTGGCAAAAGTGCATCTTTCATATTTAAGTCTGCGCACCTCAAAAAGATTTCGAAGTCCTAAAAACTGTGTTGCATAAACTGGTTTTACACCCAGCACGTCCAGACACAACCCCACATAGACATCTTCAAGTGGAATTGGTTGCACAAATCTTGAGGCCCATGATATTTTTCCAGCCAGGTCAGTGGAAAAAACATAGGCAGCTCCAGAAACGTATGGTGGATACCAGGATTTTGGGTAAAGGTCCTCAGAGATGTACCATTTGTTGATGCTGTCCCTGTGAGGAATTGCATCAGAAATGACCGATCCAGTGATGTAGTCTTTCCTTGATTCACCCTGGCCATGCAGGTAGTCCACCAAGTAATGGACATTAAGAAAGATATCAGCATCAATCTTCATGGCATACCAAGCACTCTGGCAATAAGTTGCTACCCAATTCATAATCATCATTGTTTTGATTGTCAGATTTTGGTAGCTGTCCACAAAATCCATCTGAATAATATCTCCATGTTCCTTGCTCTCCTTCTGAAGGTGTTCCTGCAATACTGGGTCACTTCGTGCAGGCTGACCAACGACAAACAAATGCAAAATACTCACACCAGGAACTAAGCCATCTTGACCCCATGTTCTCCTGATAGCAGTCCTCGCCTCTGCGTCTTTGAGGGTAACTGGGATCATCAGAATTAAGAAAGGAGTTTTCTTCTCACACACTTCTGGCTGGTTCAGTATAAACCTGTATGTTGAAGGTGAGATCACTTTATATAGCTCTTTAGAGATAGGACTATTTCCCGGAACAGACGGATCAAATACTAAACTGTTAAAAGCGAAGAAAACAAGTGTTATTAACCCAGCTAAAGCAAGGTACGTGAAAAGTTTGAATCGCGATCGTTTTCGCATGGCGAGATACAAGCTTGAGGGAAGTTAGAAGAGTTCCGTGTCACGCTAAACCAACCTCGGTCGTATGCTCGGCAGAAACGCCCAACGCCCAGCCCCCCTGACACTTGTTTTGACTCGTAACCTTTGTAAAAGTGAACGAATAATTAGTAAATCAACTGCTATCCCACTTTTAAAGTAGTTTCATTTTGTATTTTTTATCTGTGGACTTCATTACAACATGAACTAGCTAAGCTGAGCTAGATTAATTATTTGAAATATTTACAGTATCTCGGGGGAGTGTTTTATGTAGAGTTGCCAGATTTCATTGGGATATACCGTGTACAGAAGCGAAAGTGTGATTTAATGAGGAGATACATTTCTTTAATAGCAGTAGCAAGATTAAGCAAATCATTTTATTATTATTAATAATAATAAAAATGTTCACAAAACCAGCACCATTATTAGAAACTCAGGTAAAAATGTATTTACTTGTTTAAACGCATTTCTTCTCGCACAATCTGGCAACGCATGATGTTACGAGGAAAACATCTCTGCTGAGGTTTAGAGGCTAATCGGTCTTTGTCAGTCACGTGCGTTTGTTGTGTGTGACGTCACAACTGCGCCATTTTTGAGGTATCGCTTCCCGAGACAACTTGAGAGACATAACGCAAGAGTGATATATGGTCAAGCTGGAGAAATACAAGGAAATCGGGAGCGCGTGGTACCGCAATAAACTAAACAAACATGCCAGGGACCGTCATTTTGATAAACTGTCTTACATTCAGGATCTAGATCCGTTTGAATGAACTGCAAGCCAATGGAGTGCGCTGCCGCCGCCAACCCCTCATTGCTGATAATAATGACATGTCATACTGTATATCATCAATGTCTTAATATACATTGTTTTAGTTTGAACACCATTAAACCACAGTAAGTATTTCTAATTATGTATTGCAGTTTTCGTTTTACTTCATTACCGTTAGTTACATCTAATATTTACATTTACAAACTATTTGATGTTTGTATCCAAAGTATTTTACAAATATGAACAATAAACATAACAGACGTGACGTCGAGCACGAATGTTAATGTAGTACATGAGGAAGCAGATTCAAAAAGGAGAATGAAGAGCGCAGTCTTAAATTGACAATTTTAAATATTTACGATGTCATCCGACAAAAAGTAGTTATTATTTTTCGCCTCTATCTGGCAACCAGGTTACTGCGAATGAATTAGTGTTTAATTGTTATATAATATTATTTAGTTTGACAACCAGATTGCATGGTCACACTTATACTTGAATGACATAAAATTTGCCACAGCTTAAAAACAGCAATAGCTATATAACAGCTTTTGTTAAAATGTAACAGATTATATGATACATTGTATCAAAGATTTGTCTTTTCATGAACTACTGGGTGAGGCAAAGTGTTAATATTTAGATCTATAATGTTTAGCATGACTAATCCATAGAGGATAGCAGCTAGTATAGTGAGCTAAAACCAGTTTTTAAATAACTAATACACTGTAAAAAATAACTTGTGTGATAAATTAGTCATGACAGCATAGGTTTTAGTTCATGGTAACAGTTGAACATAACAAAGTTAATCATGTTCTAACTTAATTTTAGAAGTCATGCAAGCTGTTTTAAGTCAGTTTATGGACTCACAAGGTTAATTTGATCCAGAAATATTTCAGGCAACCAGGATTTTACAGTGTAGTTTAAAGATATAGACTATATTCATTTATTTATTTTATTTTCAGCTTAATCCCTTTATTAATCAGGGTGACCCACACAGCGGAATGAATCACCAACTTCTCCAGCATAAGTTTTATGCAGTGGATGACCTTCCAGCTGCAACCCATCACTGGGAAACACCCATTCACTCTCATTCACACTTATACACCACGGACAATTTAGCTTACCCAATTCTCGTATAGCACATGCCTTAGGACAGTGGGGGAAGCCGGAGCACCTATGGGAACACGGGGAGAACATGCAAATTCCACACAGAAATGCCAAATGAGGCTCGAACTAGTGACATTATTCTGCTGTCACAAAAAATGTAAACAATAATTATTAAACAAAATCTGTTTTATTGTAAGAGGGGTTACAAAGAAACACCTGTTGTACACCCATTTAATAAACAAACAAACAATCGAACAAACAAAAATATTCAAATACCAAAACGAGACATAATTTACACAGGTTTGTATAGGGTCAGTGGTTTAGTCAATAGCAGGGTAGGGTCAAACACGAAGACTTATTCTGTATATTAATTCTTTTTTTTTTCTTGCAAACAGAACTTTCATATAAGGCTATGTTTACAACAATTCCAAAAACCCGGCTGTTACTTTTTCTTTCTGAATCTTGAACATTACACAAGCTCATAACTGGCGAACACAGCATCGCTTAAAACCAAAAAACTGAACATAGGTCCTGCCTTAACTTTTGTTTCTTTTAAATCTTTCTTTTAATAACAAGCAACAAATGTTCTTATGCTCTGTGACTGAATGCCAATAGAGGTATAGGGTACAGGAAACACGACAAAAGGTGCATATAAATGAACACTTCGCAGTACTGTAAAGGTTCCGGTTCTGGAAACTGATCAGCAGAATGCAAGATTTTGTCGGAGAGAGAAGACAGAGAGGATGGGTACTTCGATTTATCACAGACAGCCAAGAAAGAGGTAAAAACAAATAAAATATCCGAGAGCCTCCCCACTAGATTTTTTTAATCATGTGCTTTTAAACTTCTCAACCTAACTGAGAAAATAACGTATTCAGGATAAGGCTCTAATGCAAAAAAAAAAAAACACCACACACAAACATTCAACTCTCTCCACAGTAACTGTATGCGATACAAAGAATAATATCAGTATTTTTTAAAACTTGAAAGCACCAAGCCAAACTCAAAATCTCCTCTCTGTCTGCATTGTGTTTTATGTTATCGGAGGGTCTGTCTTTGGTGTGCTTATGATGAACAGGCACAGTGTGTAATGTTTACCACTTCACTATGAGTCTATTGGTTTACTGTCAGATTGATGTGGACAGAAGTGTATACACATACACGACCGTGTTAGGACTTTAGCTTTGAATGGGAGGTGGGGTGAAAACTTTTGTTGTTGAATTTGTTCTCCATGAACAGGCGAGTGTAGAGAGCAGGCCGGGCTCCTGGCAGTGGCTTTGGTAGATGAAGGGGATGAGATGATGCAGGAGGAACTGGGGCCAAATGGGTTGGTTGAATCCAGCTGAAGTATAGTGGTTTATGATCGCTTTTTTCTTCCCTCAAAGTTCCTGAAGTTGGCAGGTCTGATCTTCATCTCTGCAAACTCAACAGAGTGCTCGTGACCCTTCCAGTGGAACCAGTTTACACCCTGGGGATGAAATCATTTACATTATGTATACATTTCATAACCTCATCAATAGTCTTTTAAAGGGAATCTGTCTGTAGAAAGCATGTATGAAATGCGTACCTTGCTGTGGCTGTTGTCTCCATATCTGCCCATTATATTTACTCGATGACAGTTTTTATACCAGAAAGCTCCCTTATATGACAGAGCACAGTTGGTGACCGCTATATCATTGTCATTATCGTAAGTTGAGAATGGACGGCCGTGATGATATGTCATTGAATCACCTTTAAAAAAGAAACAAAAAGAATCATGAAATAAGTCAGCTACCATTGATTGCTAATGTATTGGAGACTTACTTTTAGTTGAACAGTTGACATGTAATTCCAAAGTTACCGAACTCTATCATAAGTCATTACTAAACTTAGTAATAAGAACTCAAACTCAAGTCATAAGGAATGATTAAGCAAATACTTCTGTTAATAGTGCTAGGAACTGTGCAAAAGTTCCTCCACCTAAAAAGGGACCCTCAAAATAGTTTTAGCGTCTATAAAGCTTAGTTCACTGGAGAAATGAACTCTATAGAAGATCATTTCTCTAATCATTTGCACTACATCAGCCAGTAGTGATGTCCTAATAATTTTATTGGTTTACATGTATCTGTTTTGGTATTATATAATGGAAGCTGCTGTTTGAAATTATTTTTCTTCGCAGCTTGAAAACGTCTTGTTGAGAGTACATTTCTATCAGTATTACTATTAGATTACAGTGATCTACTTTTTATGCACACACTACTGAATGTTTTTTTTTTTTTAATTGGATATTGTTTATCATAGTGATAGTTAAGATTTGTCACTGGTTCAAGTGCACACACACACACACACACACGCACACACACACACACACACACACACACACACACACACACACACACACACACACACACAGGCATCACTGTAATTTATATGAAATGACAGAATGGACCTCATTACATTTGAGGTGAAAACAACATATTTTAGTTTTCAGTTGTAAAGCTTTAGTTGGTAAATTACCAAAGTATATATATATATATATATATATATATATATATATATATATATATATATATATATATATATATATATATATATATATGGTTACTGGTTAGAGTACTGTTCAAATACTTACAATACCAGATCGGCAGATATACTCTTACTTAAGATGTCTTTTTTCCACACAAAGTTAGGTTGATCTGCATTCTCCAAGTATGCTCCAAATGTATGAGCTTCAACATATACTACTTATGAAATCCGCACAATCTATTGCAATTTTTATAAATATTTTAAAGACTCAGTTTAGAACAGTGCACGTTTTAACAATTGATTATGGTTTATACAATTTTTTTTGTGTGTGTCTATGTGTTTATGTCTATTTATTTTTTTGTAACTTTGTCCTATGCTGCCTGTCTTGGCCAGGACACCCTGGTAGAAGATATCTCAATGGGACATTCGTGGTAAAATAATTAAACAAGTAAATAAATGTTTTCAACAAACAAACTGAAATAATAATAATAAAAACATTTTATTATTAGATCTAGACAATAAAGTAAAACCTGCCTTAGTGCAATTTACATGTTTGCATTCAGGGCTAAACAAGAGGGTTATGTCTAAAAATACTTAATAAATTAATTTGTAGTTGCACATCATTTTAAATAATCACACATTCAAACACTGGGTACTAAAAAATAAGAACATTTATAGGTTAGGATTATTAGTGGTTTACGGTTATTATGTGTAGCTAAGCATAATTTACTATTCATCTCATGAATAGTAACATGTCGAGTAGATGTAACGTGTAAAATAAAGTGTTAGGGCTCAGCAGTTAATTGTATCCTTTAAGTTTATAATAAGATGTAATATGCAAGTTTGCAGAGAAAGAATTTTCCTATCCTTACGAAAAAAAAAAAAAATTTAAGGACAAAGCCATAATTAGTTCTTTAAACCAATGAAAAAAACAAAATTTGTTTTGCCACTTACTGTACATATCAAATACATATTAAAACTATTTTAATATATGCATATAAATTGTGTAGAAAATTTTTTATTTAGAGGCATAGTTCACCCAAACATGAAAATTTACTTTATTTCAAGTACTTCCAAACCTTTACAAGTCATACTAACCATAAAAGATAATATTTTGAAGAAAGCTGAAAACCTGTAATCATTGACTTCCATGGCAGGAAAAAAATACTGTAGAACCCAGTGGCAACTGGTTTCCAATATTCTTCAAAATATGTTTTTTTGTGTGCAATAGATGAAAGAAAGGCAAACAGGTTTGTCACGAGTGGATGGTGAGTAAATGATAACCGAATTAGAATATTTGGGTGAACTGTCCCTTTAAAATTATTATAAACAGAGGTAAAGTGAAGACTTCACCTGCTGTGCCACTGTATCCTCCAACATGGACTTTGTAGCGAGCACGTGGTTCAGAGATTGAAAACTTGTCATATTGCGCGTATGCAGACTCGCCCTTATCTCTGAGGTCCACACGCAGCTCATACTGCCCAAAGGAGGTGATTTTATGGAGGTTAGATAGACCTGCAGACACACACAATGAGATTTATAGACCAACATTTGCGAAAATCACACCGTATCAACTATACCTCTAGGCCTCTGTGCTTCCTAGAGCAATAATAGCAATTTGATGTGTGCAGAAATTTAAACATACCAAGCCAGAATTCATCATTCAGGTCACCGAAGCCTGCCGTGTAGTTCTTCCAGTTTCTGAAAAACTCCACTTTGCCACTCTGCCGCCTCACAAACACCTGAGGTACAACGATATAGTATTGACTTTTTATTTTATTGATAGAAGAGGCTTTTATGGCCTCTAAAGTAAATTTTTTGAGGCAAGAACATCTCATATTCTGATTGCAATTACAGTTATAGTTGACAAAGAATAAATAATCGTTTCATTTAAAAATACATACATACATTAAATGAATATACAATTCTGGCCTTATATTATTGCATTATTTACAATAAAGTGAAAAATGTACACCTTTTATTTATGCCATGTTCACACATAACAACTGATTTTTTGAACGGCTTATCAATAGTTTTTATGTTCTTGTGTGGAAATACTAAATTTCGTACTATCATGCTTAAAAACAAGAAAAACGTGCAACTTGGGGGATTCAAACATTAAAGGGGACCTATTATGACCCTTTTTATAAGATTTAAAATAAGTCTGATATCCCTAGAAAGAGAGAGAGAGAGAGAGAGTGTGTGTGTGTGAAGTTCAAGCCCCACAAATAATGTTTTATAACTCTTTAAAACAGCCTCTTTTAGGCTTTGATCTTAATTGCGCCTTTTTGGTGACTGTAGCTTTAAATTGAAATGAGATGAGGTGGAGCTACACATGCATTTGTGGCAGATTCAAAAACAAGACTAATGTCCTATGCTAATCAAGGAGAGATCATTACCCATGGGCGGGGCTTCCCCACTCTGATGACACGTACAAAGGGAGAATGTCAAAGTGTTTCTGCAGTCTATTTTTATGAAGTGTGATTATTAAAAATAAAATGAATAAATTTTACCGCTAGAAGCTGCTTATATTCACATATTGATGACACACAACTGTGTTTAAAGCCCTATTCATGAGTTCACATTTAGCAGATGATTGATTATAAAACTTGTTTTGCAAGCTCGCCGGGAGATATCCCTGAGCTCATAAGATTCTCAAGCCTGGGGCTCCCTCCTACTTGCAAGCCGAGAGGGGAGTTTGAGCTCATGTAGATCTCGAGAACTCCCCTGCTGTAGTAGCTTATGAACAGATAGTCATTGATCTTAAGAGATAACTACTAACTTGGAGCATGTCTATGGTGCTGATTTGGATTGTCAATTAACTTAAGTTACTTGTTTTTGGACCGTGGGAGAAAACCGGGGAACCCGGAGGAAACCCACGTGAGCACGGGGAGAAAATGTAAATTCCGCACAGAAACGTTGGCTGGCTTGGTAAGGACTAGAACCAGTAACGTTCTTGCTGTGTGGCACAGGGCCAGAGTGGGACTCCTTTTTAGCCCAGGCGTTTCAAGCTTTAGACCGGCCCATCTCAGTACATGACTGACTATATTAAAATAAGGTCATTTCCAATTCAGTTCCCAATGACACTATCATGTCTTTTTTAAGGAAACAGTTGCTTTAGAACTTCAAATGTTTTTCATAAATATCAAAACATTTAAGGGTAGTTAAAGCTCCAACACTATTCTTTAAAACATCACAATGTCCTTTCCTGCATTATCTCAATATATATTCTATGCAAAATTCTTTATAGATATCCAGTCCTTTGTAACGGTGGTCACAAAAAATAAAAATAAAATAGGTAAACCTATAAGTATCCCAAACAGTATTATATGTCTTAACACTAAAAATTTAAAAAATAAAATAAATAATAATCCCTAAGGTGAGATTCAAATCTGTGTCGGTGGCATCGTAACGCATCGTGCTGACCACTGGACCACAATGGCACTATCATGTTAGTGCTGTTTGCGGTCGAATGATAGTTCCGTTATCATTAACCTGCAGGCTGCATTTTGCTCACGGGTCTGTGAGAAAATAAATGAAAAAATTATAGCTGCGGCAAAATAATGAATTAAAAGAGAGATGCCATGGTCAAATAAATAAACAAATAAAAAAAAAATTTCAAGACTGCTGAGTGTTCAAGCAGCTATAGGGACACCGGCCCTCGCAGCCAAAAAACAGACCGGCCCACCGGGAACTCTCCCAGTCCTCCCGATTAGCCAATCCGGGCCTAGTGAGGACACAGTGGTAAACACTGGGGCACTGTGGCAACCATCTAGGAAAGGAAGAGTAGTAGCGGTGGAAGGGGGGATTCTTCAAAACGAAGGTTGTTAAAAAATTTAATAATGCGGAACCAGCCACAAGCAATCATAAGCATGTGATTCTCTCGAAATTAGTTTATAAATAAACTTCACATAAAAGTGATTTTTGTGTAATACTTTTAATGTATGTTAAAAGCTCCTTAAAGTTCGTGCTCATAGTTATTCAGCCGTGATACACCAGCACAGTTTAAAATAATCATTATTTTTTTCCCTTTATTGTTGTTTTAAGATTAAAGCTGAAGGCACAATCACTTTTACAAACAATCTGCAGTAATGTAGTGAACACTAAAATCTGGGGGTTTAATAGTGTAAGCATTCTGGCTATTGGAATTTTAAGATTAAACCCTGCTGGGTCTTTGTATCCCGCTGTGCAATGCTATTAAGATAATCTTAGAATCACCCCTGACTGTAATTGCCCTTTTTTCAGTTAAAATCTTATAAATATTCAATACATACCAAAGAAGCTGTGACAGAGTACAAAGCAATAGTTACACACATTGTTACTCAACACTGTTGCAACATTCCAGTTGATAAGACATTTTCCTATCCTGAGTGTGCAGTAATTCAAAAAAGTATGACTCACGATCCAACCGCCTCCATCGGTGGTCATATCACAATAGACCTGTAGGGGTTGACTCTCATCTCCACGCAGGTAAATGGTGTACAAGCCTGAGGTGGTGTCTCCATTCAGCAGAGCCTGCGAGCAGTCTTTAGGATGCTTATACAGCACTCCAACTATGATCAACAAAGAAAAAGTGTTTGTCCGAGTGCCGCTTCATTTAATTTAGCATCTTCACATCCACAACTGAACTAAATGAGCTTGTAACCGTGTAATAAAACTGTCATTTTGTTTTGTTTTCTCACTTGTGAGGAAGACTGTAGAAATGACTCTGCTTCTCTTTGGTCCAGCGATGGCCTGCAGTTTTACTGTGTACTCGGTGGAGGCGGTGAGCTGGGACATGCTGTAAAATGTTGCTGTGGGGCTGAGGACCACCTCCTGAGCAATGAAAAATAAAGAAATGAGCAAACTCCAGTATAATAGGGTCAAATAAACATCTGTAAATTATGCTTGGCCATTAATTTGATCTTGTCTTCTCACCTTGACTACACCATCAGCGGACTCAAAGCTAAGGATGTACCCACTGATGTCTGCTCTTGGCGGCTTCCACGTCAACATGGCGGTCTCTGTTTGAATGTTACTGGCGGCCAGATTCTGAGGGGCATCAACATCTGTGGAAGGGGGAATTAGTTGTCAAAGTGGTATTGAGGATGAGTAATGATATACAAATTATAAGCATTTAGTTGACAATGCACAAATGACAAAGATTTTTTTTTATTAGCAAGAAATAAGTTTACTCAGGGTATGTACAGAAATCAGAGATTGAAATGCAATACCTTTCTAGACCTCTTTGAAGACTCTTTGTATACATTTTAAGACCTCATCACCACTTTATGTTTTAACCAATAACACTGCCGACATTCTAACTTGCAGTATATTTACTAAATACTGGTTGCAAGAAATGAATACTAAACTAAAACTGTATTTATATATTGAATAAAAATGTTAATTGAGCAGGTGGTGCCTTTACAACAGCCGGAATAACAATGTTCCCCTGGTTATTGCAGTAAACTAAGTCAAGATGTTAAATCTAGCAGGATTTGTTTGATTTCAACACAGCATCCCAATATATTTCTAAAGGCAAACTTTAGCATACTAATACAAAATTTAATACCTTGTAAAATAGCGTTTAAGACTTTTAAATACTTTTAGGGCCTTAAATGTCTCAAAATTGATTTATCAAGTTTTAATACTTTTTAAGAACCCGTGGACACCCTGTTACATCTTAAGAGTAATTTTTAAAAATTAAAATAGCAGATTTTACGAAAAAGTACACATGAATTACAATTGAATGTTTTTTTAACCATGATAATAATTTTCATAGGAACTAGCATTTCTTAAAACTTCTTCATCATTACAATGTTCCAAAACCATGATTTCCATGTGTAAAGTACATCTATCATGTTTCTACATATGGTTTACAGTATTTTTGCACAACCTTATTGATGTAACATTTCAAAAGGTTGAAATACTGCATGTAAAATATTCTCATTAACATAATATTTTTAAATACTTATTCAATAAGAGTTATTCAAATTCTCAATCATGATTCTGAAAAAAGTATAAAATATTATTATATAGTTTTAAATTATATAATTGAATAATGCTAAATTTGACCCTGGACAAAACTAAATGTAACCTTTTTTTTCAAAATATTATACATCACATGAAATATCAATACATAAGCTTTCCAACAGAACAATAATTGACTGAGATAAAACAATATCAATTTTAAAACAAATCTAAATATTGACAAAATTGCTTCTTGTTGTCTAAATTATTCTTAGCAATACATAATACTAATTAAAAATTGGACAGTTATTAACAATTTACAGTAGGACATACACATAAAGTCTTTATACAACATAATCTTCGAAACATAACTTAATATTGTAATGATTTTTGGCATAAAAGTAAACGTATCATTTTGACACATTGACTTTATTTTTGGCAATTGGCAAAAATATATGCATGCAATTTAAGACCAAGGCCCAGGTTCACAAATTAGCATATACAAGATAGCCAAATCTGAGATATTAACCCAGTAAGTAAAATAAAATAAAATAAAATACAAAAAAAGACACTGAGGTAAATCTTCATAATTGTTATTAATTCATAATTAAAGTGAATAATATTATTATGACACAATACATCTTTAATGAATTTCCAGTTGAAGTCAGAATTATTAGCCCCCCTTTGAATTGTTTTTTTTTTTTTTTAAATATTTCCCAAAGGATGTTTAGTGCACAGTAGGCAGTGCTGTCACCTCACAGCAAGAAGTTTGCTTGATCAGTTGGCGTTTTTGTGTGGAGTTTGCATGTTCTCCCTGCGTTCGCATGGGTTTCCTCTGGGTGCTCCGGTTTCTCCCACAGTCCAAAGACATGCGGTACAGGTGAATTGGGTAGGCTAAATATCCGTAGTGTATGAGTGTGTGTATGTGTGTGTGTGGATGTTTCCCACAGATGGGTTGCAGCTGGAAGGGCATCCGCTGCATAAAAATAGTTGGCGGTTTATTTCGCTGTGGTGACCCCAGATTAATGAAAGGACAAAGACGAAAAGTAAATGAATGAATGAATGAAATGATGTTTAACAAAGCAAGGAAATTTTCACAGTATGTTTGATATTTTTTTTCTTCTGGAGAAAGTCTTATTTGTTCTATTTCAGCAATAAAAGCACTTTTTAATTTTTTAAAGACCATTTTAAGGTCAAAATTATTAGCCCCTATAAGCTATAACATTTTTTCAATAGTCTACAGAACAAACCATTGTTATACAATAACCTGCCTAATTAACCTAGTTAAGCATTTAAATGTCACTTTAAGCTGTATAGAAGTGTCTTCAAAATATCTAGTCAAATATTATTTACTGTCATGGCAAAAATACAATAAATCAGTTATTAGAGATGAGTTAGCATGTTTAGAAATGTGTTGAAAAAATCTCTCCTTTAAACAGAAATTAGGGAAAAAATAAACAGGGGGGAGAACAATTCTGACTTCAACTGTAGTTCTACAATTTAACTCTGGTAGTGGGCAAAATAAATAATTTCATAATTTTCATTCATCAGAAGTGGTCAGCTGGTAGAATATAGTAGCAGAGATGTGTTGTGGTATTAGTGTGTCCATCGGCTCACCTGTAGTGAAGTCAGTGCTGGTTGCCGCACTCTTGGCTGTGTCTCGGAATGCATAGACTTTAACAGTGTATAAAGTAGCAGGAGTGAGGGAGCTCATCTCAAACTCCACCGTGTTCCCAGACACCCTTTCCATCACCGGAGCCACTGACAAACAACAAAACACACAACTGAGACTCACTGCTTCCTTCTGTTCCGCAAGAATAATGACTGACAGTCTGAGTTACCACTGTCTGCGCTGTATGTGATCACATATCCGTCTACAGTGGCGATGGACGGCTGCCACAACAGCAGGGCTTCAGTGTCGCTGATGTTCACTGCTGTCAGGCCTCGAGGTTTATCCAGAGCTGAGGGCCAACAGATACACAAACACACACACACATGAGAGAAGCAAAAACCACTCAGACAGCCTGGAGGCCATTACTAGGCTTCTGCCAGACTGGAAAGCAAAATGTGTACAACTTATGACTCCATATTACTGCCTTCTGTCGAGCTGCTTTTTAAATTGACTTTGCAGTTGCATTTATATTTGTTTTTAGTAATTTGTATGTGTCTATAACAGGGATGTGACAAGATCTTGTATGACGAGATCTCACAAGATTAAATCGAGATTTCTCATCGAGGTGAAAAGTTGTCTCATGTGTTGTGTTGTTTTGATGGAGCATAAGGGTGAATTTAGCACTGAAAGTCGGAGGCAGGTCGGAGGCAGGATTTGATTTGAACTGCAAATCAAGTGCTTTGCACACACCAGGCTGGGCTCAAGAGTTGCGCATGTCACTCGGTTGCTTGGGCGAGTGTGACGTAGTCAAATTTTTTTTTTAAACTAGAGGTCCGCAGCTACCGCATCCAACAGAGGCTACAACTGCAGCCACACTCATTAACCATGCTACATATTCATGCAATGGCATAGCACTTCAGATATTCTTAAAGTCGTAATCGTTTTAAACAAATGTAATTAAGACATGTGGAGTATTCCTATTTAGGTCGCATTATTGAAGTGTAGAGCAAAGAACGAAATCAAAATATTACCGTCGTTTAGGTCTTTTAGCCGCATTTTGCGACAGGATAAGACCTACACACACGGACACTATTATGTGCACTTACAGAGTTAGTAAAAGACACATCTCTAAGCATGCGCTCACACACACACACACACAGATGAAGATTTCTTAAAAATAGTGTAAAAATCTAGTCTCCTCTAATTCTGTTGACCCAATTCTCTTGTCTCATCTCGTCACACCCCTAATGTATAATAATAATAATAATAATAATAATAATAAATCAATAAATAAATTTTGTAATCTTAATCTAAATAATTATAATCTAAATATATCTTAAAATTAAACCTAAATATGATCTTAAATGGTGCACTACAATTTTTCATTTAGACTTTAAATAAAAACCAAACTGCTAAAAAGATTTTTTTCTATATTATTAAAACAAAAATAATAAAAATGGACACAACCAAAGTACAAAATTAAACCTACATTTAAAATAATAAGTGTTTATATAGTTTTAACATTGATTTGTACTTGTTTAATACTCTAAATATTTTCTCAAACCATCTGTATTGTATAAAGCTCTAAACATAGGACTCGACTGACTAAATGTATATTGTAAGAGAAAAATTATATATATCATTTTTATCTTAATTAGTTTTGCTTATTTAATCAATAGTCATAATTATTCACTTGCTGTGATAATTATATTAGTTAGAGCTTTCCTGACCATACATTTCATGAGATTATAATAAAATTAGGTTGAACTATACCTGTGGTGACCCTTTCAGATCCGGGTTCACTCTCCTCCAAGCCCTTAACAGCGATGACCGTGACCTGGTAGGTGACACCAGGGGTCAGATTGGAGAGCATGGCTTGAGACTCTCCTCCATCCACTCTCAGTGTCAGAGGACTGCCTGCAGGGGGAGACAGAGACCTGCAATCAGCTACTCGTCGCTTAACACACTAGAGGGCAGCATTCTCTGTAATTGATTGATAATGGTGAAATACAAGAATGCTGTCCTGATGGATAAAACAGAGTGTTTGATTGATGATATCGACGGATAGTTTCACATTACTGAAGAAGGAACTAATCTAAACACCGGGAAAGATCACAGAGAAGCCAAAAGGACACTATGAGACCTTTGGGGGGCATCTTTTCGAATAGATCAATTTATGATGCCAAAACAGCAGTCTGGGAGAATTTCCGCCTCAACTTATGCAATATATTACATAAGAAACAATTTATGAGAAATCATAAACCGAGGAAGTACAAATAAATCAATGATGTGCCAGGAGGCAGCCATCCAAATTCATAGAAAACCACACAGTCAAGTCTCACTTTCTGAGAATGAATTTTCATTCAAGTTTGAACTTATCTATATTGTGAATAGAGACTAGCATTAAGCCAAAAAACACACAATATGGTCCTATGCAACATGTGTAGTGTGTCTCAAGTGTTCTGGAGGTACACAATAGAAACTTGAAAAGGGAAGCCTGGAAAGTCTGGACAAAATCAAGCCAAAATTTTATTTTAGGAAAGTGCATAATTAGTAAGAAACCAAGATAAGCAATTGCTACAATTGAATACATTTCATGCACTTTCTTCCCTGAGGTACTATAAAAATACATGATGTGTTTCAAGAGTTCACGCTTAGAAATTGCCTGACGCTATTAGCAGGTTTGGCATGCTGTCCTGGGAAGAGAACCCTGAGCTCAGAGATAATTGAGCCCAGGCCTCTGCCTGGTCAACAAGCATATAAGAGGGTCTGAGATCAGGTAGGTCTCGAGACACGAAACATCGTTAGCCAACTAAGGTTGCATGTTCTCTCGTTACAAACATAGTTTGTTAATTTAGCGTTTCCCAAATCCATCGTTCCAACAAGCATTCGCAAACTTGTAGAGGCAAAAATCCTGGCTGTGTTCTATTCCCTATTTATTTAGAACAGACTAACATTTAAACTTAAAAAAACATTAAAGTCTTTACTCTTAGGTGTAATTTGCTTTCAAAGTATTTTTACAATTCAGTTTTAGTAATCTTCATGTTTACAATTGCGCACCCTTGGCAGTGCACTTTGAAAACGTGATGTCATTTTGAACCCAGCCATAGCTCATGACGAAAGCTATAAGTGACCTTTTATTAAATAGCAGAATTTACTTTAAGTCTCCAAAGCTTGTGAAAAAAAACAAAGCATATGTTAATGCTTTTAATTTATAGTAGGTTATTTAATAAGTATCTGTACTGTATATGACATAGGCCTGTTAGTTAGAAGATTTCTGCAGTGGTTTGGATGTGTCAAATTGTAAAAGCAGACTTTTCAAAAATTTTTAAATAAATCAACAATATTCTAATTAATCAACATCATCATTAATATTATTATTAAAGTAGCTAAAGGTTAAAGTAGTAAAGTATTTTTTTATTTCCTAATGAATAATAAATATTACATTTAATTTCAATTTAATTTAACAGCCTCATTATTTATTTATTTATTTATTTATAAGATTTATATATGATATTAGAATATGTGTTAACTTTTCATTTTATGTTTGAGATTAGAATATGTAATGTTCTCAATAATATCTGTAAAGGAAACATAGGCACTGTATGTGCCTTTTACATATATTTCAATTAATATAGAAAGCGAGTGCATATTTTTGGTTTTTACCAAAAATAATATTGGATTTTTTATTTTTTTTTAAGCAAATGCATGTAAAACAATATAATTTGCACAAAGAAATTTTGGGGCTCTTCTCTAAAGAAGTTGTTACCCACCCTGTTTAGAGCATCATAATGGGCATTTTACATTATAACTAACATGGCTCAAGCGATGGATCTGCAACAGAGAAACTACGGGTTTTGGGAAACACTAGTCACTACATCATTCTTTTCCCAAACGATGTATCGTACTATGATAGTTCAGCTGTGAGTCATTGTTTGAGAAACACACCCCTGATTGGATTATTCCTGATTATGGATGAGAGGCCAGTCGTGATCAGCCACGATCAAACATATCACGCGCTCCTCTTGAAATTTGTCTGTAAAACTTTCATTTGACAACCAAAGTTTCTGTCTGTAAAATTCTATGGAGAATATTGTGTTTTTTTTTCAATTCATTTCATTCATCTTGATTCATCAAAATAGTATATATTTCAGTGTCAGACGTATTGAACAACTGTACTAATAGTGTTTCATTAACACAAAGATTTTGTGGTGCATGGGACAAATTTATGATTTATTTCTTAGAAAATCCTAATGCATCTTGCTATTCATTGACAAAAAGCTTTTTGCTATTCACTTTAATATTAGGTCTTTTTTCCACAGCCATTGGCGTCAACTCGTTTGGTGTATACGGTTATTTTGTCAGCCAATGTTTTGTTTATAAACCTAGATGACTGCATATCTGTCTTAATAGGCCACATTGTCTGACAGCAGAAAAGGCAAAAGTTTATATAGAAGCATTCGAATTTATGACTATTAAAATAGGACAAAGGACTTTTCAAGCTACTTTAAAGGCATTTTGCATTTTGAACCACAAAGATGACATGTTACTTACCACCCTGAATGGGCACATAGATGACCCTGTAGTTGTCTACACGGGTATGTGGCATAGTCCAGTGAACAGTAGCTGATGTATCGGTCACATCAGAAAAGCGTATTCCCTTCGGTGTTCCAAGCCCTTGGGAGAAATGACACACACAGAACAAGCAACCACAACATACTGTTAAAAACTGCGTGTTTAAGCATTTCACAAATAGGAGTTAAAAACAAAGCCTTTTCCCAGAAACAAAAATACAGTCGAAGTGTGAAGAAACTTCTTGAACTAGCCCATTTATCCTGCTGAACAAACAGATGCATCAAAGTAAACATTCAGGACGTGAGGACTACAGATAAAGGACACACAGACAAAGAGCCTGGCCTTAAAGCTATTTCTCAAAGCTGGACCTCAGAATCTCGCGTGAAAGATGCAAGAAGATTAACTTGCCCCCAGTACAGACACAATAGTGTGACATGCCAACATCAGACACAAGTGGAAAGTGGAGCTCACTAGCACAAGAGAAGATCGCCAGAGACAGGCACGCAACCAGGACAAATACACAAAATAGTTGGTCCCGCTCTGTAAATAAAACCTTCAAACACACAGCAAAAAAGAGACAAAGAAAGTAAGCATGATGAGAGAATGCTTGGATGAAACTTGATGCGTAATGAGCAACGGATTGAATTTAAGCAGGTAATGGATAAATGAAAGCGTTTTCCATGAAATCAGCGATGATGAAACCAATCTACTGATGGACAGACATTAAAACACTGGAAATGAAGAAGAAAGTGTTCCACCACCAGCTTGTTTTAAATATCCAAATACCTGTGCGAGCTACAGTGAAAATGGGCTGGAATTTCCGTCCCAAAATGATCCCAAAGAGCTCGATTTCATAATCCGTGTCTTCATTGAGACCTGTGACCGCTTCTGTTCGCTTGTCTCCAGATACACTGATCTGGTGAGGTCGACCCAGGCCGCTTGAATCGAGGACTTTGAGAGCGAATGAATCAAAGACGGCCTCTGGCGCTGTCCAAGTCACTTTAAAGCTGTGCGGGGTGATGTCCGACACCGTAATATGCTCCACTTCAGGTTCGGCTTCTGGTTGACAAAATAATAAAGTTGTGCTTTTCTCTGTAAACTGTGACATGTACTTAAAAAGAGGTTAAACGGTTAAATGTGGATTCCCTTGTTTGAGACTAATCAGCGATGGCATTAGTCATGCATGAAAATAGCCTTCTTTAAAAAATAAAATAAAATCAATTGTTCAGTCATCTATCAGTTGTTTCTATATCTATGACAGGCAATGCTGAAATCAGTGAGCCAAGAAATTTAATTTACATATTTGGATTAGAATATGGAATGAGATCTGTTGGTTAGTAGAAAAAAAAATTGACATTGATGAATTTTCCACCATTATATTAGGTTGCGCCATCATAATTGTATCGCCATATAATAGCAGTCACGTAGAGTTCAAGACAGAGTCGTTCCAGGACAATGACATATCCATTATAATCACATTGACAGAAGGGCTCATCCTGAAAATGCATTTTTATCTCTTTTTTGCTGAACTTGCAGGAAGACCGGTGACAATGACTGATATGAATTCTGAGAGGGATATCTCTAGAGAAACAATTGCTGTGGTGTGGATATGTAAAACGGGGGGAAAATAAAGGATTCGGATGTCTTGACCACATAAGTGCTGCATTGTTTTTTAACAATAGTCTTGTTTCTGCCAGAATATGGTCTAAGTTTAATACATTGTGGATTTGTCTTCATGTTCTTTCTTATGTATCAAGATACTATCCTTACCCACACTTTAATTAATTTAATTTACATTATAATGACATAAATTCAGTCGATTAACTATGTCCTAGTCGTAAGTGTGAAAAGTTTTTTGTCCTAATCAAGGTTTTGCTCTTTATTCAATGTTAAAATTTTCTAACATGACTTTAAAAATATTTTTGACTTTGGGCTTCTTTTATTTTAAAGTTATGTTAAGAAATGTGTTGTAGTTTTTTTTGGACTTTTATTTTAAAATTATGGTTACTTGACAAAACATGACAAACTAATTAGTTTCTTCATATTTACACCTGCTTCGAATGTTATCACTCGATTGAATGGGCGTTATCAGTGATAGATATGGGCCAGTAGGCTGTTATCATCAATCCACATGGTTAATCAGCTATACTAATAGAGAAGACCCCAGATCCAGATTTGTTTTTACATTACTGAGGATTGGGTTTAGGGTTGGGGTTGTTAATAAAATTCAATTAATGGGAAATTTAATAAATAATATAAATAATTCTTGTTAACTTCTGGCTGCAGCTGTATGTGATCTGTAGCTGATTAACCATGTAGATACTAGTAGGTGCAGAAGGCCCCTACTGGCCCATATCTATCAGCTGATAACCATTACCTATCTATCATGTACAAAATGAGCATATTTCCTTACTATGGTAACTACACCTAATTAAAATAGTTACTGTTCATTTCTAAAGGCTGGTCAGAACAGTCAGAACCAGCGACAACTAACAATCCAGGCTGTTGATGTATTTAATTGAATATATTAAAATAATACATCATTATTAATCATTGTGTATTACATTTTTTTCTCAGTCGCTTTGGTACATTTTTCAGATCAGAATTGAAATACACAAAAACATAATTGCATTTCTCAAAACAACGCGTACAAATAGCAAAATACCATGGATTACGTGCAAAAGGCAGTCTCTTGCTAAAAATCCTTAGTTCATCTCTCAAAACTACATATCTGTGTCAACGAATGTGTCAGTGTCATTGAAATTACAAGCCTTTATGTCATTGTGTATGGATAAGACAGTCAAATGACTTTGCCATGTTGTCATGTCAATATAACAGTGTACTCTGGATGTAAAGGCTTATGCTATGAACTAACGCCTAAATGCTGTGGGGTGAGACTATTCAGACAGAAATCATTACAATTCATTTTGATCAACATGACATAAGCAACTGATAATGTAGGAAACAGCAGAAAATTGCTGTATGGATGTACGCAAGCATTTGCAACTTGTTAAAAGAAATGAAACTTCTTTTTTGATGTGCACAAGTGTTACAATAATGTGATAATTGAACAAGTAGTTTTGAGAATTTTAATTCTGATCTGAGAACTGTATTAAAGCAATTGAGAAAAACTGAAATTTAACATTAACTAAACTATATAAACTTAATAAACTATGAGAAAAAAAATGCAAGCATCTGAATGCAATATTTCTGAAGAAATGCATGCTGTTGTTTACATTTTCAAGTTAAATTTGGGATTTTTCCTGTTGAATAAAAAAAGACAATAATTGTAATTGATTAAATTTTGATCAGCCTCTGTGTTGGGATCAACTACACAGAGGGCACATGAACAAATTATGGAAACTCAATAAAGATATCACACCAAACAATGAGATCACACTTAAATGTTTAAAAGACAATGCTGCATTGATCCAAGCCAACAATGCCTAAACAGAGGCCCGTTGTCCTAAACTAAACTTTCAAAAGAAGAGAAGAAGAAAAGCTCCTCGACCAGCTTGAACCTCTTCTTCCTCCAAAGCTCTGGATGATGTGAAACAGAAAAGACATTTGCTGAATGTGGAAAAGTGTTGCAAATGAAAACCAGCGAGGACAAATCCTGTGGAGCTGTCCCTCTTCATTAGCGCCGTTCACTTGTTTAAGAGTGTCAGCAGTGTTTCAAGAGTACTAACATGTGCTCTCCAAGGATCACTTTCATCTGACTGCCTTCTAAGTCTCTCCGCTTCGACAAAGAGGCATCTGTTTGTGGAGGTGGAAAAGGCGCCAGCTAACCTACAGGAACAAGGTCTGGAAGCAGTAATTCTGCAGCTAAAACCTCTGAGGGGGATATCAGTGTTGACACAGCTAAACGCTCTACAGCGGGGGGAAAGAAAGCACGTTTTTTGTAAATATCGCACATTTTTGAAAGCCTGTTTCACTCGGGACAGAGCGAGGCGAGAGTTCATGGGTCACGTAGCGTGGATAAAGAGGAGGTTAGCAGAAATCCAATCGGTTCCCCTTCTCCTCTGCCTATTTGCATGCAGACTTGAGAGACTGCTACAACTGTGGCCCCTGCAGCCACTGGCTGATAAACGCCAAGAAAATGTGTGAAAGTGAGGCACAAGAATGAGAAGTAGCGCAGGGTCAGAAAACGGGGCGTGCATACTGAAAAGATCCTTCACAAGAAGCCACAAAAACTCCTCAGGATCACTTCCATGGCAGTAAACCCCGGGCCGACGCTCGGAGGAGGGGGCGAAACTCTGGTATGCGGCTAATAAATGTATGCCTGCTACAATACAACTTGTCTGGTTTGCTGGTATAGACGATAAATGCCACAAACCGAGTGATTTAAATGGACTCGCCAGCAATGCGAAGTGAATGCCGCAGTCAATTAGAATGAAAAAGGGATCATTAGTCTAACTCGGTTTTGCCTGTTAAACACAAATGTAGCGGCGATGACAGGCAGAGGTCATTTGGCGCACCTGCAGGCTGAGCCGGTGATTATGTGGACGTGAATGTGTGGGGAAGCATTATGATGCAGTGCAGGTGTGCTCTGAATGTCAGCATACTTCAACGTGTAATTCAGCAGATGGGAAGAGTGCAGATATTTCACATATTCACAGCTGCTGACTTGAAAGAGGGTTGGTTTGTTTGCAGTGCTTTGCATATTTCTGAAATCATGTTCCGTGGACTGCATTGGGTTATCTTAACTTCTTAAGTGTTAATAAAGTGTTGTATGTTTTACAAGTTTGCATATGTGTTGCAGTATGGAGACAGTAAAGACATATTGTAGCAAGGATTGGATGTTGGTGTTGTCATGTAACGTGTAACATCAGCCGCAATGCTGCTTCCTGCTATTTATAGATACGGTGTGATACCTAGAAGATCATGTGTCTTTTTGAATGCTGTTACTTCTAATATATTACATTTAACGCATTTCATATACTCAGGGCTTGACATTAACTTGTTTGATCAACAGCCACTGTGGCTAGTAGTTTTCCAACGTTACTAGCCACTCACCATTTTCACTAGCCACAATTTTGTTGTTGGGAAAATATATTTTTATATGCATATATTTGTCTGTCATGCTTAAAATTGATAATTTTTACATTTTGTGTAATGTCAACATGCCTCCATTTTATTTTAACCTTTTTTATTTCACATGACTCAACACTAAGGATTTACCTTTTTTTTCCCCTCTGGCCACATTAAACTAATTATTTTCTTGCCACAAATTTTAAATAATGTTTAAAAACAAGCTAAATATAGCTATATACATACACTTCTTATTCAACAAAAATGTTTTTTTTTTTAAAAACAATTGACAGTTTAAAAAATTATTCTCTTTTATCTAAAACTATACACAGTAGTTTGTCCAGGCTAAAGGTCCCAGATCATCAGGTAACCATAGATAAATGGTTATTTCCTATTTAAGCAATGTTATTGTAACATCATATCAACAAAAGTAACTGTAATCAAAAGAAAGCAGGTCATAAATATTCTGTGTGCAATAGAGAAAGGATGATTATGTTAGGTTAACATTAGGCCCAGTAATAATCTGTTCAAAGAATGGCAAAAGCGAAAGCGGCAACAGCTACTGGATCCCAATTCTAGCCCTTACCCTTAGCCCTACCCCTTGTTTTGCGTGTTCCTTTGAAGGTGCAGGGGTGTCCCAATTCTTTTTAGCTTGAAGGTGTAGGGCGGAAGGGAAGGGGGTAGATTGCCCTTCGAACAAAGACCTCACTCAAAACCAAGGGGTAAGGTAATTTCCCAGAATACACCAGCCACAACGGCCGGATCGCTGCACCCGGTAGTCAGGAGATTCACAAATTAGTATTTTTGTCATTATTACGAATTTTTACAACAAACAAGCACACGTTTTAATATATTCTAAACTGCGTTCATGTTTTACCACCATGCTAAAAAAAACAAAATACATTTAAATAAAAACGGATCTATTATCCCTAATAATTACTCCTTTATAACAGTCCTATAACATTCTGACACTCGAATACCCAGTCAGAAAAGTCTATTGGCTGGGAATGGGCTTTTTACAGTGTCTGCTTCTGCTATAATGTTAATGTTGTTTTTGTTGTGTTTACATAGATAAAAATGGCCACTGTAATGCACAGTACAGTTAAGAGCTTCTTGCCACATTATATCATTATGATAACATGATATATGCCTTCAGTGATTTCTTGAAGATAAATACCAAAAAATAATGCAACTGGAATAACTACAGCAGTCACGATCGTCTGATCTCATATGAAGCAAGAGATCGCGATGACATATGATGATGTCTACAGGTGCTGTAGTGCTGTCCCAATTCTTAGGGGTACATTTTTTAAGTCCTTCCCCCTCACACTTGGTTTTAGGGGCCAAAGGGAAGGGGTACAAAAATAGAATTGGGCTAAAAAACCTGGAGATCTCTTGAAAGCAGCAAAACCGTGGCTGCATGAGTGCCACTTTTTAACAATTTATTTTAAAGAGAAACAATTTCACCAGTTGCATTTCCAGGCACAATTGTTTTGCGCAAAGAAACGGGAGCTTTTAAGCACTTGCACGCATTACATTAGATTTGCCTCACTCACAACGTCAGTGAGCGAAGATCGCCTGTGTCTTACCATGTGCCTGATCATTCTCTCATTCGGTATTCACCTGCTTTCTTTTGCTCGGCGAACAGTTATCAATCATGCTGCTTCTTGATTCTAAGAGCACATTTGCACGCATATTGACAAACTGTCTTAAACTAAAATTCTAATCTTTAGGGACGAGGCAGCTCTGGCAACTTGTTGCCAGCTTTGGGCTGGCGGGTGTTAATATCAAGCCCTGCATATACTATATATGACAGTAGGTCTATTCTAAAACTGAGATTCATTCTGAGATGTCATGATGGATCAGGCTACTTTCATTTTAAATTTGAATCATGAAATTTTCTTTACAGGTCAGTCAAATTTCCTTTATATTAACCTGACCTAAGCCACACAGCTAAATATGTATAACTTATAAACATGATTAACCTGTTTGTATACTACTTTACTACTGCAACATATGATGTTAATTATTATATTATTTAAAAAGTGCTATTTAAAGCTTTAGCATCGAAATATTGAAAGGAAAACATAAATAGTGATATGCGAATATCTGCAAGAAGGTCCACTTTTTGAGAAAAAAGAACCCCCCTTTTCACTGGGCTGGCTACAGGCCTTGTATAAATTTATATCTATATATTATGGAAATGGTCATACTGGCTAAGGCTTTTTAGTTTTTACTATTACTAAATATTTACCTTACTTTCTATATGTGACCCTGGACCACAAAACCAGTCTTGCATGGACGTATTTGTGGGAATAGCCACACTATATTGAGTCAAAATGAACCATTTTTATTTGAAGTAATCTTCTATAAAGGCTTAATTGCTGGTTAGTAACGTGCATTGGTAAGAACTAAGAACCTGGACAAATTTAAATGTGATTTTCTCAGTATTTAGATTAATTTGAACCCTCAGATCTTGCCGAAAAATGTTCCAATAATCTAACAAAGCATACATCAATGAGAAGCTTATTTACTTAGCTATCAGATAATATATACTTGTGACTGGTTTTGTGATCCATGGTCACATATTAATAGTGGAAAATAAGATGAAGTTTCAGTGATGGATGATGGAGAGATGAATTCACTATGAATACTATAATAACTTAAAATTCAAAAAAGTGTTAGTATCAATTCACCATGTGATGTGATGAACTCCACAAAAGAGACAAGAGGTTAGTCTGTACTGCCGTTTGAGGCAAAGCAAAGGAGACTGGAAAAGAAAAGATGCCAAAAAGATGGCCAAGCTGGCTCAAGACTTGGCAAGTATTGATACCTGTGATGGCTTCGGCAAAGACAGGGTCTAAGAGCTCTCCCTTGTACAGCCCGTACAGTGTGACCCTGTAGAAAGTACTAGGAGAGAGGTCAGTGACAGCCAGGCTGAACTCCTGGCCAGACAGTGTGTGGTTCTGGCCATCAGATAAGCCATCTGGGTCAGACACTTCAATCAGAAATCCCTCAACCTCTCCTCTGTCCAGATCCCAGGACATACTGAAGCTGTCCCAAGACACATCAGAGATGGTGATGTTGCCCACCTGAGGCTTCTCCTCATCTGGATGACAAACAGATCAGAAGATAATTAATTTGACAGGTACATTCAGGAGAAGAACAAACTATGGCTGGTTTCTAAGACATTCTCTTTTTAAGTTTGTGTTCATTGCTTAAAGGCAAATGTATAAACGTAGGCACAAAGAGGTATTTATGAAATCTTCACTGCATAGCTGAATAAAATAAAATAAAATAATAAATAAAAGGTGACGCAGTGGCGCAGTACGTTGTGCTGTGACCTCACAGCAAGAAGGTCACTGGGTTGCTGGTTCGAGCCTCGGCTGGGTCAGATGGCGTTTCTGTGTGGAGTTTGCATGTTCTCCCTGCGTTCGCGTGGGTTTCCTCCGGGTGCTCCGGTTTCCCCCACAGTTCAAAGACATGTGGTACAGTTGAATTAGGTAGGCTTAATTGTCCGTAGTGTATGAGTGTGTGTGAATGAGTGTGTGTGGATGTTTCCCAGAGATGGGTTGCGGCTGGAAGGGCATCCGCTACGAAGGTTCATTCCGCTGTGGCGACCCCAGATTAATAAATAAATTAAATTAAATTAAATTAAATTAAATTAAATTAAATTAAATTAAATTAAATTAAATTAAATTAAATTAAACTAAATTAAATTAAATTAAATTAATTAAATAAATTAAATTAAATTAAATTAAAAAACAGATAATCTTTCTTACAATTACAAAAAAGCAATTTGTTAATTTCACCAATTTCATCTCCATCTGTTTAAAACTGAACATCTGTTCATGCAATGGTGAAAAAGAAAACAGATGATTAACTTTCAGAAAGTTGTAGTGATAAACAAACAAATCTGCAATCATTTCTCTACGCAACCTATTAACATCCAAGCACCAGCTTGCTGAGACAGCTTTGGTATTAATGGCCCTGAGAAAAGCCATTAATTTTTGAAGGTCCTGCTTAGCCTGCCTGAGCAGAGGTACGCAGAACACTTCAAACATGGGAGGCAGCCATGCAGCGCGGCGCAGTGCAACCTATAATTGAACATCATTGTGCATTGTCAGCATTCACAGGGAAAGAGGGGGCAGAAAGCTTGGAGATGCACGGTGGGCTAACCATTATCCTGTCTATGCACATTCAAGAGAGGAGAAACGTGGCGTGCAAATAGGGTGAGAGACAATGCGGATGAAGTGAATGACCTTCCCAGGCATTAGGGCCGCTTGTTGCTTTTGAAACCTGGAGATGAAACAATACTGAGCTGTCAAACAGCAAAACAACTCATTGATCATCTCGCGCCATTCATGGGAACTTAAATTTAGCTAAATTGATTCATTTTGTACACTTATCCAATAGAGTTCCTTTAACTGCAAGCGCTCCATGTATGTCTGAGGGGTGGCCTTCACTGCATGCAAATGGAAATCGGAGGAAATACAATAAAAGAACGGCTTTATTGTTTGGAGGACCTCAGGCCACAAACATCTCAAGGGTGTATGAATAAAGCTGTTTTTAGATGCATGCAAACCATTTGTGTTTTTCACCTCTGTATGTGAGCTTTAAAACATGCAGGTTCTTCTAACCATGAATGTTTGGTCATATTTACAGTCGTCAAAGGTGAATTCGTTTCAATAGAAAACTAAGCAAGGTAAACTGACAATGAATTGGAAATAGTTTTCCAGCTTTAAAAGGAATGCAAAACTCTAATAAAATTGTAAAACTTAAAACACATATTCTCAATTAACTAGTTGCTCATTTGCATATATTATTTTTGAGAGAAAACTCTAGCTGTTATCAGCTGTGCTGGGTGGAGATCTTACATATGGCAGTCTCTTACTGATAATAATTAAGATGACAGTTGTAGTCAATAACAAAAGCCAGATTTCTTATTTAAGGTAACATATTCTGATTATGTATGGATTGCTTTTAGATTACTTTGGAGATAACTTTTTATTTTATTTTGATTGGTCCCGAACAAGTTTTGAAGCATGAATTAAACTATAGTGTCAAAAGGTCAATTTACATGGTCATTCTGTATTGTGAACATTTAAAGCTAAGTGATAAGACACATATCAGAAGGTTCAGAAAGCAAAATCTAAAAGAGAGAGGAAAAATTCGAATTCAGCCGTGGTCACACTGGACTTTTCACCCCATGGACTTCTATTGATACAAACGCAAATGCATCAGACCGGAATTGCAAGCTCATGTGTCAAGTTTCACAGTTCGCTGCGTTACAAAATTCAAGCTTGGTGAACTCTGACCTGCCAAATGGTATCACATGACAGTGTGAGACCATTCAAGTTTAAAACATGACCTCTCTGGGCAGAAATGTAAAATATGGACCAATCGCTGGATTTTTTTAATGTCAAACCATCTTGTTTAATACCGCCTCTTTTTGCAGCTCTGTATAACAGAATTTTGCATGCTCAAACTCTAGTGTGACCGCAGCTTTAGGGAAAATTGTGAATATTTTACTGTCATTTCTGTACTCAAATTACAAGCAAAAATTTTTTGAAATGTAATTACATAATTAATGTTATTAGTGAATATGTGTTCTTTAATATGAAGTTTTACCACAATAACTTGTTGGTTCTTTACAACCTACAAAATATCAACATAAAACTGCCTGGCTTGACTGTTTACAATACACTTTTTTTCAACCTAATTCTGTAAATGTGACTATACCTTAACAAAATGAAACTTAGTGCTTAGTGCATATATATATATATATATATATATATATAATTTTACTTTATTTTTTTCTCTCTTTTCCATCTAGTTGTATCCTCATGAGTTTTCATTGAGAGGGTCTCAGCCTTCTAGTCTCCACATCTACATATTACAAGCTGAAACACTTATAATGATGCCAGAGAGACATTCAGAGAACAGAAGAAACCCCAAACCTAAAGGTCTCCCTGCCCCCCACCTTCCCGTTTCCATTGGGTCTGAGGGAAGTGTATGCCCATGTTTGTGTGCCGTGTCTAAGGCCGATAATGGTTGCTGAAATAAATGCATTGGGATTATAGTGCTGGTGATTTCAGAGACAACATTTTAACAGGCGGCTCAGCATGTGTCCTATTTATCAGTCCGCCCCACAGTTCATTGTGGTCAAATCACGCAAATCCAAAAGGGGAGTGGGCTCACTCTGACGATTATCACATGAATGAGCTTTCTGTGCGTTTGTGTGTGTGTGTGTGTGTTTGGGATCTTGAGAAACACTATATCTGTTGTCTTGCCTTGGCGACCAAAGCAAACAACTGATGCTATATTTTTTATAGCTTTTTGGCTTTAGTAAATGATTACCAAGCAAGAACATTTGGTAACTGTGGATGTATCCTAACCACAGAGATTTTGGCTATAAAATAAACCCACATGCCACAATTGAGGGCAGAGAATAAGGATATTAGCCACCCATTTCCCGTGTACGGTGGCATTCTGACAATATGAATATTTTTCAGATTTTTTTGGAGGTTTCCTCAAGATAGGAAGCTAAAAATGATTCATTCAAGTCATAGAACAAAGACTACAGTATCTTCAAACTCCAAAAGAAATATTGACACATCAGGAGGGAAAATAAAGATATTATATTATATTCCTGAGCTGCCTTCACATCTTCAAAGTTTATGGCTGAAACCATCAGATTTAAAACCAATTTTTAAAGCTGATTTCACAATCCAAAGCACTATTGCTTTTTTCCACTCTAGAAGCAGGAGAAAAGTGGATGTGAAGACGCATTCATAAAACATATAAATGAAAATGTAGTGATGCAGACTAACCTGTGGATGCTGATAGAGTGGCTGGCGCACTCATCTTTCTTCCTCTCTCAGCGGTCAGGGTAATGGTGTGCAGCATGCCAGGGTTCAGGCCAGTCAGGATGTAGGTATTTGCAGCACCAGGTATCTTCAGTTCCGTTTTATCTCCATCCGCAGGTATAAACACTAGACTATAGGTGTCGATTTTAGCAACCGGCCTTCTCCAAACCAGTGCCAGGGTGGTCTCTGTGGTCTCACTTACTTGAAGGTCTTTGGGAGGATCAAGATCTAAGAGGCAAGGGAATTGACATGAAAAGATTAGTTTGTTAAATTGGCAATTTAGTCATCATTTAACCACCCTCAATTTCTTCTGAATACCACCAAAGAACTTTTAAGGAAACATAACAAGAAACTTGGAAAAGAATGCCAAAGGATAATGCAATATTGTAAATAGGCATGCTTGTTATATTTGATGTCAGTTAAAGCTACACAATACATTTAATAATCCAGGGGACTGCTAACCATTCTAATAGGATCACTGAATCAGTATGATTCATTTAAAATTTCCAACTAGGGGTGTACACTATCACAAATAAACAACATACAAAGTTCCAAAGCATTCAGTGTCTAATGAGGCCTAATATAATACAGTAGCGATGCCTTTTATAATTATTTTGAACAATTATTCATAATTGTTATGAAGCCAAAACTGCCTAAATGGGGGTTTTTATCTGTGTGTGTGTGCTTTACATAATGAAATTTGACAGTAAAGTAATGTCACACAAGCAAAGAGTGTTGTTTTCCTGAATATCAATGAATGAGTGTGAATGTGAATGTGTTGTTGATTTTATACACCTGTATAACAGATACAGGTAATACTATTGCATGAATTACATTTTAGACAAATTTAGATACATTTTAATTTACGTTTGGCCATCGAAACTAGTTCCAACCAAATCCTGAGCAGACCAGTTCTCAGGGAAAAATAGTTTTTTTTTTATTCCAGAATCAATCAATCAATCAATCAATCAATCAATCAATCAATCAATCAATCAATCAATCAATCAATCAATCAATCAATCAATCAATCAATCAATCAATCAATCAATCAATCAATCAATCAATCAATCAATCAATCAATCAATCAATCAATCAATCAATAAATCAAATCAATTTTGAACAGGTCAAATGAGCCATGGGTTCAAGTACATGCTTGTAGAATCCCAACCCCTGATCCCATGAACCCCAAACCCATTTTTGCTTGGTGAATGAATCATATTTAAAATCCAAATAGATATAGAGATGTAATTTTTGGCAGTACCGCACATCTAGATCCAACTGAAAATAATTAATTGTTTTCAAATTAAACCAAACATGAACAAACCAATATAATGAATATTAATATCTTCAATTTATAACAACTTTCATTATTGTTCTGTGTCACACAAAGGCTTCAGAAGATTTGAATTAAACAACAGCAGATGTTTAATATAATGCTTTTCAAACTTTTAAGTTCTTTACAAACCCATCAGTATCACTACTAGAGTCAGTGGCAGATTTAGTGATTTTGATTTTTGATTTTAATTCCAGTCATAGGGCCCAAGTCCTGAAATTCACCCTTTCCACTTTTATTTAATTTTTATTTATATAGCTTTTTTTATCACTCAATCTTCTACTAAATTAGTGCAATCTCTACATTTTAATTAATTAGATTTCTCCAAATGAATTTACAACTAAAAATAATAAATATTTATTTATCAATTTGACAGCTGAACTGCTTCATGGTGGATATTTTACTTTGTAATAATATTATTACATTATTATAATAATATTATATTTGATTTTATACTGAATAATATTTAATCAAGTTAAAATTGCATTTATTGAACTCTCACCACACAAAAATGGTAGAAAACTATGTTATATATAGTTTATAGGTATACTTAGAATTTCTAGGTATTTATTACTGGCCTCCAGATTTCCAGGGGCCCTATGTGGCTGCTTACCTTGAATAATGATAGGGCCAGACGGAATCTGTGGACATTTTTTGCTATTTCTACGCAGAATTTTGTTACAAATCTGCTGATTTATGTGGAATAATTTTGGGAGCATCATAACTAAAACCTTAATATATGAAGTAAAACGTAAGATCTTTTTAACTTGTATTTATTGTCTACAATGCAAATCCAATTAGATCCACTTTATTTGGTAAACAAAGCAAGTCTTCTATATAATATATCTACTAAAAGAGAGACAATATGACTTTACAAACTGTATTGTGAATAAATTATATTAACATTTTCATATTAGTCAATAATACTACTGAAATTTATTAAAAAACTGAATAAATATAAGTTTCCACACATTAACACAAGTAAATAAACAGAATCAATGATGGGCTAAAAATCTGCGAAATTCTTTGGAACTCTGCGTTCGCAGATTGCGTGTGGGCATACTTATTGGTTAAATCCACCCCTGATTACAGTCAGTATATTAATCTTTGTTCTAAATTACAATTCCATTCAGAATTCACTCGAGCATCATAAAAGAAAACAAGACAATCACATACACATTCAATATGTAAATAGAACAGCTATTGTCGCTTCTGTTAAGTCTTACCAGTCACAGCGTTGGTCGTAGCAGGCAAACTCTCACGCTCTTCCTTGATTGAAGTCACTCCCATTCCATATTCAGTCCCAGGCCTGAGGCCTAAGAAAAAGCCCAACAGATTCCTTACTCTTAAATCATTAAGCAAAAACGAAACCATTATTCTCTCACATTAGTTATTTTTGGACCCTCCACAGAAGGCAATTATTTTTTGTACTCGCCACTGTGAGGTTTTAATTTCATCTGCGCGCCATATCAATCTAATGCCTTTAGGTTGCCGCATCAAAGAGCTTCTCCACAGGCCAGAAACAATATTTACCATCATACAAGAGATTCTCAAATCCCCACACCCCCATTCACAAGAGCCCTTAGCCCAAATCCCACACTTTACCCCTCTTAATGCCTGTATTGGCTCCTGCAGAGGTCACTGTGCTGGAGTCCTCCAGCATGAAATTACGCGTAATGCAGAGGAAGCTCATTATCAATAAAATCACAGGCGTGACGGCAATTACAGATAATAACTGTGTGAAAGAGACAACTAGTGAGATGTGTATGTGTGTGTGAAAGAGACTCTGCGTTATTAGCTGAACAGATCGTCCGCCTTATTTACAGCGAACAGGCCTCCCAAGGACAAAGGAGCAAACCAGACAAAGAATCTATTATCCATTTTGAATATATTTTTTCTCCCAGCCATGATAATCCCTGCTTGCGGTAACACATGGTTGTAGAGAATAAGAATTAGCACTGGAGATTGCCTCAAAGCACAAGTGTACAATAGGAGTGTTGCTGTTAGGAAGAAAGCCAGCACTTTTCCTGGGATTTTCACATTGAAGCACCAGTGTTACTTCATTTAAGATATGAATGAGGCATTGTTACCTAAAAAAAAGGGTAGCATCTCATTCCCACTAAGTCGTGTAAATGTTTAACGTCATTAAAACAAAAGCTCTCATTTGGAAATAACTGCTATATTTAGAAACCTTAATATTAGCGACACCGGTGGTCATTAAGTGAACTGCAGTCAGCAATGTTTTTTTTACCTATATATATATCACTAGAATTATTATAAAAAAGTAAAATGAATGTGGGTATATATACACACACACACAAACACACCGGTCAAAAGTTTGGAATCAGTATGATTTTGAAATGTTTTAAAATATGATTATCTTAATCAACAAGGCTGCATTTATTTGATCAAAAATACAGTACAAATTGTAAAATTGTAAAACGTTATTGCACAATGAAATAACTGTTCAAAAGTAGTTTGAAATTTAATTTAATCATTTATTCTAGTTTTTAAAGATGAGATTTCAGCTTCATTGCTCCAGTCTTTAGTGTCACACGATCCTTCAAAAATTACTGTATTATTATTATTATTACTATTATTATTAATGGTAATAGTAATAAAAGCAATAATGACTGGAGTAATAATTTAATGTAAAACTACAGACAATAAGAAAACAGTTGTTAAAAATTGTAATAAATATTTAATATTTTTTTACATTTAATAAATTGATAAACAAAATAATTTATTCATAATTTATATATATATATATATATATATATATATATATATATATATATATATATATATATATACAGTCAACCAACATACATATAACTTATTATATAATAATTCAAATGTTAAACTACACAATATTTTAGAATATTTAATTTCATGAGTCACAGAACGGGACAACGGAACAGGGACTCTCAGGATCATCACTTTTTTTTTACTTTGAAAAAAACGAGTCTTTTCAGATAGAAAACCATCTGTCATGTACAAACTAAGAAGTAGGGGAAGGTTTTGTTTCAAGTTCACATACTGGAGACTATTAATATGTAAAACATATTTTAAATAGCCTCTTTTAATAGCACACGGATGCCATTAAAAAAATTCTTACTATCCCTGTTCAGGCAAATTTAAAAAGATAGTTCACCCCAACATGGAAAGTTTCCACATCTTTACAGGTTTCCAGCTTTCTTCAAAAGATCTTCTTTTGTGTTTAAAAGAAAGTAAAAAGCTTCAGAAAAAGTGAAAAGAGATTAAATGATGACAGAATTTTAACATTTGGGGGAAGTATCCCTTTAGATTAGCCTGTTTAAATCTCTGTTTAAATCTCTGAGTTTCCAATAAATAATTCCAATAATTTTTCAGAAAGACTTCCATTATTTCAGGCCAAATCTGAGAACCACATTCCTAATTTGATGAGGAAACAATGTCTTGAACATGCAGAAGGGTCGTTTTCAGGTAATAAAATAAAATGGGTTTAACGGAAAACTTCTCCAATGTCTGGTTCGCATTGCGGCAGAACCTCACTTTACTCTTTCGCCTTCCTTTTTTTTAATCTTTATGGACTGTTTGTACTGAACATGGTTTGTAATCCCAAAGGAGGGATTATTGTGTAATTCAGATTGGCCTCTCACCAGTGATCTTAGCCTGAGTGGTGTCTTGCAGGCCGCTGGGGAAGACCAGCTCTCCATGCTCCCCTCCAGAAAGTGGGCCGTATTTGACACGGTAATTGAGGACGTTGGCTCTGCTGTTTCTCCACTCCAGAGTTATGCTCTCATCTGTCTGCTCAATTGCCTTGAGGTGCTTTGGGGAATCCAGATCTAAAACACGTCAACATGCGGATGAAAGAAAGTGCTTCCTGTAAACGTACAATTATCCTCAGAGGCAAGACAAACAAAACTGCTTCAGTGCGGCTCTAAGTATACAACACACCTGCTGAAGGCTAGAAACTACAGACAAAAACTGTTTTTCGTGCACCTGTCACATTTAAGATTTTGAGTTTTTTGGCTTTTCAGTATTTTTTTTTAAATCTAATGTATAAAAAACATCAAAAATGCACTTTTAAGTGTTTCTTTTGTCACTCTTTATCAATTAAAATTAGTGGAGGAAAGAGTACAGAAAAATCATAATCAAGAAAAAGTATCATTACTTGGCCAAAAATGTAGTGCGAGTAAAAGTATATGTTGTAAATCATACTCAAATATGTGTGAAAAGTAGTCCTTTTAAAACTATTCAAGAGAGTATTGAGCTGTGAAAGTCTGATGCCTTTACATGCAATTTGTGCATGTGTGTGTAAACGTAACATTCTGTAGAGCATTTTCTAACTGTTTAAGACTATTTGGCAGTTTCATCCCAGCAGGCAAAGGATGTCAACATGATGTCAGATTGACATTGTACCTCAACGATGTGGGAAGTTGCATTATGTTTGGAAATAAAACTTGGGTTGACGTCAGAACCCAACATTAGGTCGACATCAATGATTAACGTCAGACAGACGTTACATTTGGTTACTTTCCAATGCAACCTAAATGCGGTCTAATAATGTAAAAGCTTGACATTGTGTGGATGTTACCACTATAACGTCTATTGGACGTTGGATTTTGGTTGCCACACCTGACGAATAAATGTCAGTATTTGACATCAATATGTTGTTGATCTAAGATGTTGGCTCGATGTTGGATTTTGGTTACTTTCCAACACAACCAAAAATCAACGTCATTTCACGTCGTTACTGGATGTCAAAATAACATTGTCCTGAAGACCTAAATCTAACCTAATATCAGTATGTCTTAGGACATGTATCTGCTGGGATCAGTGACAAGCAGTCTAAACCAGGGGTCACCAACCCTGTTCCTGGAGAGCTACCTCCCTGCACATTTCAGTTGCAACCCTGACCAAACACACCTGTTTGTAATTATCAAGTGCTGCATTAGGTACTATTAATTGGTTCAGGTGTGTTTGATTAGGGTTGGGACTGAATTCTGCAGGAAGGTAGCTCTCCAGGACAGGGTTGGTGACCCCTGGTCTAAACAGTCTCTCGGTCACTGTGTGTAAAGATTTAAGACATCTTCTTGGGCACTTTTATTGCTTTTAAATGGTTTGCTGCATTTAAAAAGTGCCCATGTCTTAAAATTGTTCAGTATGATGCGATTTAGTTTCTATGTGCGATTTGATTGGACAGGAATCGCAGGACTAATTTTTCTACTAAATAAAGTAGTGGCTGCAGGTTGAAGGAAAGTAGTGGAGTTAAAGTACCGAGACAGCACTAAAAATGTACTCAAGGGATAGTACAACTACACGATTTTAAAACTACTTTGAGTACTTTTGTAATTTCTTACTTTACACCACTAATTACAACAAATATTCATCCATTTGGGTTTCTTCAACACTGAGCCATAAATATATGCTTTAGCACTTATATAACAACAGACTTTATAGTTTTATTCATTTCAACTTTTTTATCATTTTGTTTTTAACATAGGAATATGTTCCTACATAACACACTGCAATAGGCTGTAAAAATGTATGTTTGTTCTAGCTTTTTATAGCATGTTCTGAATTATGGGTCAGGTTTAAATTGTGTTTACATTTTTGGGGTAGAAATGTGTGCAAAGTCGTGCCTATTTAATGAAATAATGACTTATTTGCATATTTAACCATAACATTTTTGAAAACTTTTTTAAAGGTCCAGTGATTTTTGTTTTATTTTTTTAATTTTTTTAAATTAGGGATAACTAGCAAACTTTTAAGCCGTCAGCTAGCGCTCTGCAACTCTCACATGTTCGCCCACTGTAGCTAAGGTGTGGTGTTAGTGAGACCAGCAGGGGGCTCTCATCCTGTGGTCTGTGTGGGTACCAATGGCCCTGTATAGTGATGGGGACTCTATACTGTCAGTGAGTGCCATCTTTCGGATTAAACATTAAACCGTGGTCCTAGCCTCTGTCCATCATTGCCTCCTAACCATCCCCATATCATAATTGGCTTCATCACTCTATCTCTTCTCTACCAATCAGATAGTATGCGTTCTTGCGCATTATGGCTGCCGTCTTGTCATCCAAGGTGGATGTTGCAAGCTAGTGGTGAATGAGTAGATTCCCCCAAAAATGCGTTGAATGTCCAGAAAAGCACCATATAAATGTAAGGTTTTATAATAATAATAATAATAATAATTATATATGAACATTATATATGAACATTCAAAGCTTACAGTTTGTCAGATATGCATAAATAGCTCATAATTTTTTTTCACGTCTCCTCATAACTTAGTTTCTCATCAAATCTTGACCAATTAAACGCTCTCTAGTATCTGACATGCCCTGCCTCCTTCAAGACACTTCTCATTTGCTTTTCAGTTGATGCACTTGAGTTGATGAGCTCAACCACTCTATCACAGCTGTGATAAAAACAATACACTATTGGCTGTTTTTTTTAAAGGGGAGGAGCTAATCTATATCCGACCCTCTCTTCATTTTTTAATTAAGATTACGTCAGATAAACATAAAATAAAATGCACATCAAAGCACTTCACTGGACCTTTAAACTTTCAACTCACTGTATTCACTTATATTGCATTGCCTTAAGCAGAATACATTTTTGGATGACCTGGAAACATCTCTAGTTCTTAAAAAGTGTTCATACCTGTTGTGAAGGTCTCATAGATGGGGAAGCTGCTCATCTCTCCCCGGCGGGCCATAAGAGAGACCTCATACTCAGTGTCAGGAGACAGCTCAGCCAGATGGTACTGGGTTTCTATGGAGGAAAGCTCAATTGTGTTCCTGTCGGAGGAGTCTGTGTTTGGGCCATAGGAAACAGAGATGCCGTCCACCTGAGCGACAGGCTGAAGCCACGTGACCAGGGCTGTAGTGTCCGTCACGTCACGCACATCCACCTGGCTAGGAGCATCAATCACTGCAGATGAGAGGAGAGAAGAGTGTGAGACAGCTGGGAAAACACAGAATTACACAGAATAGAAAAGCAGGTGAGCTCAAAACAGCTGCTGCATACTTTTAGATGGAAAAACCTCCATGCATGCCAATCACCTTCATTTACCCTATAGCTTATTTAAAAAAACCACGCACACACATTTATGCTATGCAAGACGCATATTACTTTTAATACATAATACATATTACTATTACTAAGTGCAGTATTATTAACTTAATTTAAACTTAAATACTGACATTATTAAATAGGTTTTATTTCATATTGTCTCTGAGCTGGTAAATAGTAAAATAAGTCAAATAAAAACTATCATTCATTCATTCATTCATTCATTCATTTTCTTTTCGGCTTAGTCCCTTAAATTTATTCATATGTATTTGTTTATTTATATTTATTGTTGGTAAATAATAATAATATTTTTATTTATAAAATATCTATTATAAATAATGATCTAACTGGAATGCATTATTTGATGTCAAGCAGATCTAAATATGATGATTATTTGACTTAACTGTAGCCTCAGCTAAAAATATAAATATTTTTTGTAAATAAGTGTTAATATTTTTTATTCATTTTCTTCAGTTAATTACTCTTTCTATTTTTCTATTAAAGAGTAAATAAGTGTAAATAATTTTTTTTTTGCAAATAATGTAAATAATGTCTAACAAAAAGCTTTTGTACATTTTTCTAATGTTAAGAACCTCTAAATATGATAATTACCAGCCTAAAATATCATAATTAAAATGTTTGTATATATAAATCAATATACTATATGTTACCATTACAACAACAACAATAATAATAATAATTATAATAATTATAAATAACAGTTATTATTATTATTATTATTATTATTATTATTATTATTATTGAATTAAGTTAAACCACTTCTTATACTTCTAAATAACTTAGGTTGTAATATTTCTGTGTGGAGTCTGCGTGTTCTCCCTGTGTTCGCATGGGTTCCCTCCGGTTTCCCCCACAGTCCAAAGACATGCGCTATAAGTGAATTGAATAAACTAAATTGGCCAAAGTGTATGTTTGTGTTCAATTCAATTCAATTCAATTCAGCTTTATTTGTATAGCGCTTTTACAATGTAGATTGTGTCAAAGCAGCTTCACATAAATGGTCATAGTAACTGGAACAGTGTGAATGCGAAAGTATATGGGTTTTTCCCAATGTTGGGTAAAAAAAGCTGGAAGCTCATCTGCTACGTAAAACATATGTTGGATAACTTGTGGTTCATTCCGCTGTGGCATCCCCTTATAAAACAAAGGGACTTAGCCAAAGGAAAATAAATGAATGAATGAATAATAATAATAATAATAATAATAATAATAAAAAATCATAATAATAATATGTTGTTGTTGTTGTTGTTGTTGTTGTTGTTAATATTATTATTAAATTGCGTTATTTTTTATATTGTAACTTTGTTGTTAAATAGTAAAGTAAATTAAGTCAAACGTTAAACGTAATCATAAAGTCAATAAAGTAAATAAATAGCTGTTTTAGACTTTTTGTTGTCACAGACCTCTAAATATGATGACCACTCATTTATAATCTACATTTTATAAAATGTACATTTCAACATTAAAGTCGTTAGAGTATTATTTTAAAATAACACTATCTTCTATATGAGCAAAAAATACAAACAGCTATTTATGTCTTCATTTTAATGCTAAAATCAGTTTGTCACATTTGGAGGAGCATCGTGAACTGATAGGACATATGTGAGCTGAAGATAATGCACTCCAGCTCAGAGCAGATCTGTGCATGTGAGATGCTGGAAACACCAGTGATCTCTCATGTTTCTGAGTGCTGCCTCCCACACACTGAGAACTCACTTTCAGCAATTAGTCCCCCTTTAATGCAAATCCTATGTGGCACAAGTCGAAGAAATGGAGGAGATGGAGCGTTAGAAGCATGCTGGGAGATTTCTCTTTAGACATTTGTAAGACAGCAAGAGCAGCTTGTTGTGAAAAGGAACTCTGGTTACTTGAATTGAAAGCATAAGAGGCCAATCTTGTCTTTTTTCCCTATATAATCTATAGCATGTTCTGTACGAAGCTGGCGATAAAAGTAAATGGATGTTTAGGAAATGTCACAAGGGTAATAGGCTCTTCAGAAAATCATTGAAGATATTTGAAGTGTAACATTTAAGGGAAATATCACTATCATACAATCAAGTACAAGATAGGGAAAAAAGCTTTTAATGATTCTTTCTGCAGCTGGTATTTGGAAATTTATAGTAATATAAACAAGCAATTAAAACTATGGACTTAAAGCCTATGCGATGGCATCATTGTGAGGTTTTATGTAAACATAA